AGGCAGTAAGGATCAAAAATAGATAACATACAAAGAATTCTGAGGGCCTGTTCTGAGTCTTTGTAGCTAAAGGGCTACAAAACTTTGGGAAACAAACTCACTTCCTGCTTGGACCCTTATCATTTAATTTAGAGCATTCTTAGCAAAGCAGGTTTCACAGGAGTTTAATGTATTCTTTCTTAGGTCTGATCACCCAGGGAACCTGCCCTTTTTAGCACAGGGCTGCACAGCCCTCTGTCATTGTTTCAGGCTTAAATCAGACAGGGAAAGTAAGGCAGCCAAGAGATTAGGAGACTTCTCACAGACAGAATGAGGACTCAGGCTATATCAAAGCCGAGGGGTGAGGGTCCATCACCCCCTTTTGCTGTAGCCCCGCAAGTCCTTTCCCGGATCCTCCCTTTGGTCGTGCCTGTCTTAGGTCGATCTCTGCTTGGGGAATCTTACCCATCATTGGCTAACTGATCAAGCATTGGAGGCCAGTTATGGATGAAGTAAAAGGAGCAAAAGTGGTGCTCCTGCCAGGGAGATAAGCTTTGTCTCCTTAGTGGTTTACGGTCCAAAGGTCACTCACTCAGCCTTAGCCATGGGGGGATTACAGGTCCTGAAACCAGGCAGGGCAGTTCCCAACACTTCCCTCTGCCTTTCTCAGGGTCATAGAAGCGGTGCTCTTTGAGGCGGGGTTTTTTTTGTTGTTGTTGTTCCCGGTCCTCCTGTCTCTGGACCAGTTGTGAGCTCCAAGCCAGGGCTGCTTTGTCCCAGCACATTCCAGGACTTCCAGGCTCTTGACTCACGCAGGGAAGAACTCCAGAACAAGTCTGAGTGAGAGTGAAAGTGAATGTTATTTAGGTAGAGAAAGAGGCAAGGATGTGGGTTTCTGGAGACAGGGTCAGGGGTGAGTCCAGGATGAGCTGCTGGTCACCTAGTTGCTGTGAAAGAGAAGTACGCATCTGAGTGGACACAGGAGAATTCACAAGTGAGTTGCTCACTGGGTCAGTCAGTTCTTGTGATTTTATATGAGGTCTGTCCAGAAGGTATCCAACCATGTAATATGAACAGAGACATTTATTGAAGAAGGTAGAAGGTACAAGAAACATTGTACATAGGACAATGACACCTCAGTCCCCTTCCAAGCAGGCATCTTGGGATCTCATGCAGTCCTCCAAATAGCCATCAGCTACCCGGTTGTATTTTCCTGAATCTCACCAACAGTCTGAAATCTCTTTCTATTCAGAGGTGATTTTAGTTTTGGGAAAAGCCAGAAGTCACGTGGTGTCAAATCTGGGCTGTAGAGGACTGATTCACCTGAGTGACTTGATGTTTCACCAGAAAACTGCACGAGACGTGATGTCTGAGTGGGTGTGTTTTCGTGATGCAGCTGCCAATCACCAGCTGCGTATTGCCCCCATATTCTGAATCATTCAAACAGTTTCCACAGAGGAATGTTCAAGCTTATTGCAAAATTTGATGCAGATTTGTTGTTCTACTCACTCAGTCATTTTGAATGTGATGGTCACACAGTACACATGCTTATTCAATGGCGTCTACTGCCTCTACGGACTCAGTACAATGAAGTCATCATTGTTCATGCATGTGCATCACAGTCCACTCTTCTTGGCTGCCAGGTTACATCAATATTGCACAAACTGTTCTCATTATATTAAGAATGGTTGGACTTTTTCCCGACAGCCCGTGTATGTTTCCAAGAGTGGGTTGATTCTGAACTCTGTGGTGCCAAATGCTGACTCTGCATTTAGCTTGGGACGGTGTCCTTTTTCCTAATATGGTCCATTCTGAGGTGTCATGGTGTTCCTGGTGCCAAATTCTGTCTCCACCTTCTGGTTGGGAGGGGGTCTTGTTCCTAATATGATCTGTTCCAGAGGTATCATGATGCTATCTCTTTTGGCCCCCCTTCTACTTGTGGTGTCAGTTTTTATTATAATGATGGTATAATGAGCTTCGGGGTTGTCCTCTCATCAATTTTTCCTCCATGCTGGATTGATCTGGTTTTAGCCAGTCCTTGTTGTTGGATTCTGTGACCACTACAGGAGTTTCCTGCCATAAACTGTTTGCCTTTGATCATGTATAGAGGTGGAGGCTCTAATGAGAGGACCTGGAGGCTTATTGGCCTGTGGTGTCTGCTCCTACTTCCTCGTTTCGCTTATCAGGACCTTTCCCTAACTTCTTTCTATGCTGCCACTCTCCAGGATAATCTCCCTGTGCTTCCCGTGGACTTTGCCCACCTTCTTCATTCCTGTTGGGCCCAAGCTGAGAGTAGCAGTTGCACCTGAAGCAGAGCATGACTTGGAGCATTTTCTTGCCCCGTGTGGCATGAGGCTCAGACCAGACACCAAGAGGGGCTGAGACAGGTGTGAGGAGCAGGACTAGGGATTGCTTTCATTCTTCACCTTGCCTCCATTCCACCCCAACACCCTTTTTAGGAATGTGTCTCTTTGTGGGCCTTCTTGACTCAGGAATGGAATTTCTGAGTGGCTGGGTGTATGGGGTAAAGGTTAGTTGGCTGTGCTTGTTGTGTAAGAAGTTGCTGAAAGTCTCAAAGTTGTGGACAAAAATAAGGGGGGGGCTCTCTGGAAAGTAATCTCAGAGAGTGAACTGATCATAAATTCCTAACTGGAGTAGGTCATGGTAATTTATTTAATGAAAGGCTTGTCTTTGCCTTAAGCAAGCCCTGTCTACATCTCTGTGCATCTAATTTAGCACACCTTTGAAATGCCCCCTTTCAGGCGGCTCCTTCTAATACCTGACCAACTTTTCAGACCCTTCCTTCCACAGTGATACTGCCCTCAAGAGAGCACATAACCTTAACTATCCTGTTCCAAGGCTGTCCAAACTTCTGGCTTCTCTGTGCCACACTGGAAGGAGGAGAGTTGTGTTGGGCCACACATTAAATGCATTGGGACATGTAGTCACAGAAAAATTGCATAATGTTTTAAGTAAATTCACGATTTTGTGTTAGGTCACACTCATAGCCATCCAGAGCTGCATGTGGCCCGCGGGCCTCAGGTTGGACACCCCTGAGTGGAATCCAGTCACTGCCTCGCTTCCCCTACTTTCACATGTTCTTCTTTATGTTCTCTCCTAACCTCAAATGCATGAAAGAAACTGCAGACTGTGATTTTCTGGTGCATTGCCCCCAGCCTGTTGAAATCTTGCTTCCAGTTGTATTCTCTGCCTCCAGTAGACTTTCATGTCTTCTCAACAGGTTTGGACATTCTCATGTTGACAAAGTCCTCATGGCCACTGGTCTGTCGTGCAGCCATAGTGGTGTTTGCTGGCAGTCCTTGGTTTGCTGACTCCCTGTGGCCCTGTGCCCCTCAGGAGGTGGCATTGAACCCAGTTTTGTTGAATTCCTGAGGTGACCTTCTGCTGGAAGAGGCAGGGCTCCCAGGAAATTTTTAGTAATCTGAGCTGGGGAAATGCATAAGAACCACTTTTTTGTTTAGGGTCTAAAACGGAGTGATTAAGAGCAAGGGCTCTAGAGCCTCATAGTCTGGGTTCAGGTCCAGCTCTGTCACTTACTACCTGTGTGATTGTGGGAATGGTAAGCAAAACTTTCTCATTTTGCATGAGAATCTGACCTTCACTTAACTTTGTATCTCCTTCCTCCTTCCTCCTTACACCCTAATGAAGGATGTAAGTCAGCTGCACTACGCAACATTGCTTATGATAAAAACAACCTCTTGTGATAAAAATGACTACAACAGGATTGGCTTTTTCACAGCTGGCAAAAAGCCATTCTTTTGCTTTGTGAAGTATGGTGACTCTTTCACTGTCCTGTCCTTTTCAGGCACCTGGAAGCTATGCCTATGTAGTTGTTACAAGCAATAGTGGCTCCTGTCAGGTATTAAACCAGGGTGGTTGCCATGGCCACTTATCCCTGTACCTGAGCCATCTCCTTGGGGACTAAAGAGAGTAGCTTTTGATGGCTCAGTGGACTGGGGCCCTGTGGACTGGTCCTGCTGAAAAGGAGCTCTGAAGCCTGCCCTGCCTGGGAGCCGTGTCCCTTCTAAGTGGGTCTAATGCCAAGTGCGCCAGTTGGTAGTCTAGTGAGCCTCAATATTTAGTCAAAATTAAAAAGTCTCTTGGTGTATTTGTTTTTAAACTCTGTGTGCTTTTTTCTCATCAGTAAACTAGGGATGATACTACTACCTGCCTTTGAGTGTTGTCGGGATGATTGTAAGGTGCTTAGAACAGGGTCTAGTATGTAAGTATGGACTGCTGTCATTGTCGTTGTCATCGTCGTCGTTGTCATCATCATCATCATCATCATAGGAAGGGAAGGCAGGAGGCCCTTTCTCCTTTGGGTCAGTTCCAGTCTCATCCTACTTACTAACTCTATGGCTTTGGACAAATGATCTCATTTTCTAAAATCACAGATTCTTACAGTATAGTCTAGGTTTTCCATTCATTTGTTGAGTGAATCAGTGAACTAGGAGAGGCAACAAAATGTTCCATAGGGTCCTTTCAGGTTTCAAATGTAAGATTTTGTGTGACATTGACTCTGAGAAGAAAGCTGAAGGAGGGGTGGGGAAAGAGGTGAGAAACCACCCACAGAGGGAGCGGTGTCAGGGGTCAAAGGTCTGGAGCAGTCTGCAGGGGGCTGGTTCATTAGGAGGAGGTGGAAGGTGTCCAGTAGTTCTACTTACCACATGGGTCTAACCAAGGCTTAAGAGAGGAATGTTGATGATTCTGACCTTTGAGTAACACTTTCCTATGTTCCCAGGGCAGGGTTAGAGGGAGCAGAGGGCAGTGTTGTGCAGCTGAGAATAAGCTGAAATGGCTACTTTCGGTTGTTTTGGAGTATTTCTTGGAGAAAAACTGCAGAGTAGTGTCACACTGCCTGGGTTTTTCTTCTCTGAGGACACCACTCACAGTGGCAATGACGATGAGGATTTCTGACCCCACAAACTGCTGGGGGAAGTGAGCAGTGGCCCCAGCAGAAGGCCGACCCTAATGCTGTGTGTTTCTCCCTCCCTCCATAGGTCTGAATACTGGGGCTTTTTATGCCTTGTCCACTCTGCTGAACCGCATGGTGATCTTGCACTATCCGGTAAGGGGGTCCCGGAAGTGTGCTGGGCCCGGAGAGGCTGAGGTTTCTGGGACTGTCTCAGCAGGAGCTGGGGGAGCAGTTAGCTCTTGGGTCTCCCACTTCTAGGCAGCGTGCTTATGGCATGGTGGCATGCTTATGGGACTTGGAGGGTCCCAACCCTGGTTCTGGTGGCACTCAACTGTGTGACAAGCTAGTTAGCATCTCTGAGCTCTCATTTTGTTTTCTGGAGAAGAAGCATAGTCACTTATTGAAAGGTTATTTTTAGGATTAGAAAGTAAATATTATATGTCTATATATTCATATATATCATATACTTGTAAATTACATAGCATGGTGCCCAGCAACACAGTAGGTAAACATATGGAGAGTTGCATCTGAAATATTTAATTTGTAAAATATGGGCAATGTTTAATTTTGATTGGACCGTTAGTTACTCAGCTGAAAGTATTTCGTAAATGTTTCCAGAATCAGTAAGGGTTGGATGCTGGGAATGGGATACTGCGTGTCTTGGATTCAGGGATTCCAGGTCCAGTCTCCTTGTGGAGGACAGGGTCTCATGGCCGCAGAGGCAGCCGCTGTGGCTAAGTGTTCCAGTTTTGGAGTGTGGCCGGTCTGAGTTCAAATCCTAGCCCAGCACTTAAATGCCTCATGACCTTGGACTAATAAGTTTATGTCACTGTGCCTCAGTTTCTTCATGTGAAAAATGGGGCATACTGATTCCTAACTGTATGATGGGGAATTATGAGAATTAAATGAGATTATGATGGAGAATCCTTGGCATGGTGCCTGGCTCAATAATAAGGCCTCATAATGTATGTGTGTATATATGTATATATATATGTATGTATATATGTATATAACTGTTATTTTCCTATTTCTTTTGGTACTGATAGCTCCAAAAACCAAAGTATGGGGTGTCTGGATATGTGTATTTATTTCCCCTTCTGCAAAATGGGAATAATGATAAATAAGATATAAGAGTTGCTCTAAGGATTGCATGTTTTTAAAAACTCTACCCGAAAGTGGTTCTAAGGACAGAATTTGGTTCACCGCAGCATCTAATATCATATACACCCTCTGGGATTCTGAGAATATGTTGGGAGGAGCATCTATTCTACGATTTTCTTCCCATTGGCAGCTTTGTATTACAGGCCGTGTTGCCCCGATACATTCTGAGAACAGGCTCTGATGGAGCCAGGATTCCTCACCTGTTCCCCTTCACCACATGGCGACTGTGCGCTGTCTGTGTCCTGTCGCTGGCTGATCTTTGGGGGCTATGTTTTTCTTTCCCAGGGGGAAGAGGTGAATGCTGGGAGAATAGGCCTGACCATTGTCATTGCAGGAATGCTCGGGGCTATGATCTCAGGCGTCTGGCTGGATAGGTCCAAAACCTACAAGTAAGTGACCCTTCCTCTTGGATTGAGAATCGGGGACTCAATTTGAAATGACGTGTTTGTTAGTAATGTGGCTCCAAAGGTGTGGGTGTGGCAGCTGAGTGCCCAAGAGGGCAGTTCAAATTTATCTCCCGGGGCCTCCGTTTCTGCATTTATAAAACGAGGGAAATGATACCCACCCTGTGGGGGATCTTTGGGAGGTTAGAGAAAAAGGACACAAGGCCTAACGCAATACCTACCCCCCCCCAGTAGACATGGAAGGGATCATTGGGGGAGAAGTGAAAACGAATATAGAAAAAATGCCAGCGTTTGGAACGTTTGCGGGGAAAGCCCAGACAGTGGAACGTGGGGTGATTTCACTGGCCTGTTCTCGTGGCTCCCTCGGACTGCATGGGTTTCACCGTGGTGCTCTGTGCTTACTTCGGACTGGTCCTGCTGGCATATTATCTTGCTGACCTGCTGTCCTGCTGACGTATTAGGTTTGCAGCATATTATCTTGTGACTGCTTTTACCTTCTTGGTAAATAGTGCGATGTGCTTTGAGTCTGGACACTCAATGCATTTCTGAGAGTCCAGAGTGGTCTTTCTGAGGCTTCGGTGCAGTCACCTGCCAGACTAATCCAGAACGTGTATTAAAAGTACAGACTGCTGGACTCTGCCATCACGGATGCCAGTTCCAGAGAGGCACTCACCTGAATCTGCATTTGTCTCAGTTTGCCTCAATTCAGGAGCTAGACTCAGAGTAAAGGCTCTGGAAAAAACAGAGGCCCAGTATCCTTCTCTTCTTAGTGCATCTTTTTAGTGCTCTGTATGCATTGGGTGCTCAATTAATGCTGGCCAGTGGGGCAGCTGCCAGGGTCGTCATTCCCTAGGGTGGGGCAGTATTCTGGGCTGCTTTGTCAACGCCTCCCAAGTTCCCAGTGTCTGGAGGCGACAGACAGTGGCAGACCTGTTCTCTGCCACACAAACCCACTTCTGTGAGGCTCTGGTCAGACCAGGTCTCGCTGTGTCTGCTCTAGTCACAGGCCAGCTGGGGCCATCCCCGGGGATGTGGCTGCCTCTGGGAACACAACAAAAAACCTGGCTTCGCTTAATTAATGGCTGCTGGAGCTTGGCTGCCATCTCGTCTCTGTTATCTGTCAACTACTTGCTTCAGCCACATGCAAGAGCAGTGGGGACTGGCCTTCCCCAAACCAGTGAACAGCACCATCTCTGTTTCTGGGGCTTGCTCTGTGGCAGGAAAAGGAGGCATTGGAATGTCACTAGGCTGGACTGTGGGCCACAGATGATGCAGATGAAAATGCAGCAAAAGGCCTGGGGAGGACACTTCGGGACCTAGAGGTCGCCAGTTCGTCCGGGTTGCTCGATGCCTAGATCCCGTGGTCAGCAGGAGACACTCCCTGCACTGCTGCCCAGGCAGAGAAATGCTGAGCGAAAACTGTAATCTGCTCTTTGGGGTGCCAGTTCCCAAAGACCTTTTCTCCCTGAGGCTCCCGGATTTGTCCTTCCTGGTTTAGAGGCTGGAATCGGGTGGTCAGGCCCATTTGTCACAGGCTGGAACTGCAGATAGTTTTTCTGGATGGGTCAGTGGTTCAGGATGAAACTTTGATTGAGCAAATCTGGTGAAAGATGAGCTGGCGGGGTCAGGAGACAGAATGGTGCTCATGAAGTTGCTTTCTGCAGAGGGGGCGGTCGGACTAGATGCGGGGAGCAGAAAGAGGGATAAATCTCTATTGGCAGCCGCTTTGAAGCACTGGGTGGGAGGGGCATCCTTCAGAGGCTGTGGCCTTGAGTTTTTCCAAAGCAGCAACCACACAGAGTATTAATATCCTCCCTGCAATAGTAGCAGGAGCACAGGGTTCCCATTCCAGCCCTAGGTTCAAATTCCAGCTCTGCATTCACTCAATGGGTAACCTGGGACTAGTTCTAACTAGTCCGAGCCTCAGTTTCCTCATTTATAAAAGTAGGGGTAATCACACCTCTCTCTTGGGGCTTTTATAATTGTTGAGTAAAATAATAAATGAATGTAAAATGCTTACGAGAATTCCTAGCACCCAATAGATCCGGGTGGGGATGAATTTCACGTTACTATAGCATGTGTTTGCTGTGGTGGTGCTGTGGCCCCCACCACATTTCTGGCTTCAGGGGACATGTGTGAAGGCTTGAAACTTTCATTGTCTGAGACCCGATGTGGTGGCAGGGGGGGGCAGAGGCATGTACAGAGCTGGGAGAGGACTGCAGGGCCAAATAGGAGTCAGGGCCGAGCGGAGTCCAGAGTGGGCACTGTGGGAGCAGTGCGGGGGGGACACCAGCAGGATGAGCCTGTGACGAGCCAGCTCATTGCTGATGGTCCTCCAGATGGGACTGACAGAGGGAAATGTGACAGGGAGTGAGTGGAGCTGTCTCACTGGTATCAGACACTTACTTAGTTGAGTGCTGGAGAGTGTTCTCTCTTAGTGCCTGCTGTCTGGAGTCACTCGGACGCAACAGGAAAAACTGCTGCACTTTGCAGATGGCAACAGGAAGAACGTTAGCGATGACAGAGAGAATCTAAAAGTCGGGTCGCTTCTCAGCATTGGGATCAGTCATGGGACCTTGGGCAAAGCAGACGTGCAGAATTGGGAGGCTTCTGGGGCAGTCCTGCACACGGATGTTTGTCCTGTTTGTTTTTCTTGTCGGGCATGAGGAGAGGAAAGGGCTGTGCCTTTCTTGCTATGGGTAGGAAGTGACGTGGCAAAGTGCAGCTTGATACTGTTGAGAGAGGTCTGCAGGGGAAACGCATGGAGCAGATGGCTTCAGACTCCCTGGTCTCACCCGCTGTGGCAACGACTGCAGGTAACTGAATAAGTATCTGTGTGGTCACTGGTTCGGTGTCCATCAACCTCATAGACAGAACGTTCTGTGAGAGCAGATGTCCCAGCGCACAGCAGAGGGCATGACACACAGCGGGTGCCCGATAGATACTTGTAGAATGAATGAATGAACGAGTGAACAAATGTTCCTGTTAAAGTCAGAAGTGCATGAGTCAACTTTTTGTTTCTGCTTGTAGGGAGACAACGCTGGCGGTCTATATTATGACTCTGGTGGGCATGGTGGTGTACACAGTGACCTTGAGCCTGGGGCACCTGTGGGTCGTGTTCATCACAGCTGGCACACTGGGGTAAGTTTGACCTCTGATAGGTTTAACTGGGAAGCACCATCCATGGCTTTTAGAGCTGCTGGCCTCCTAGGATGTGATCTTGACCCCTTTGCTGGCTTCTCACTGGTCTCTGTGGAGATGTGCAATTGGTGGCCAGAGGTTTTTTTTTCCTTTGAGGAGCATGTGAAAATACATTTTATTTTTATCAGAGGTCTTGTTTACATGTAGCACTGCAAAAGACCACCTGGAGCTTCCAGGCCCATCAGTACTGTTGGGAATGGAGTGTGTCCCTCACCGAGTCTTTTTTAGCTCTGCCTAGGACCACATGGGGGCATGGAAAAGTCTGGGTCCTGGCCTCAGTTCTGCCGTTGACTGTCTGGTAGACCACAGGCATGTCACTTAACTGTTCTGAGCCCCCAGGTCCTCATGTGTGAAGGAAGACAGGTGGCCTGCCTTTGTAGAGCTGTTGGACAGATTGAGAGAGACAACAGATGTGAAAGCAGCAAGAAGTGTGGTGCAGATGCAAGAAATTAGGGTTGAAATTCCTTAGACCTGTTGTCTGAGAAAGCATAGGAAAGAGTACTCCTTCCTATGCTGAGCAGAGGTCTCTGCTCAGCTTCACGTCCTAATTATTCACTGTGGGCAGCACATGAGTGTGTGTGCGCATGTGTGGGATGGAGGGGGCTAGAGAGAGAGAGAGAGAACACACAAGCCTCAGTGACTCACTGGGGGAAAATAAGGACGACCTTGAGTTCTTCCAGGTCCCACGATCTTGAGGATGCTGTTCAGCATCCAGGGACTTCCTACTTCCAGCACAGGGCCCCTGTACCCAGGACATAGAATCTCTCGGCCAAGGGCCGAACGCTCCAGATGTCCCCGCCCTCCTGTAAATGCTGACCCTGCCTGCAAGTGATGGCTGGATGTAGAAGAAGCAGGGCTTTTCAGTACAGAGGCCTCCCGAGTACAAAGCCTACGTATGAACGTCTTCCTGGCTTGCAGGGTTCTCTTTCCTTGGTATGCCCTCCCAGGGAGTGGCCTGATCGTTCAGGGTCTGGCATGTCTTGGTGGGTAGAAATAAAGCAGGAAAAGGAGTTCTGAGGGGGGAGGTGGGCTCTCCATCCTTCTTGTTCTGGAAGCCGTCCATCACCTCGTTTCTGTGACCTGGCCTTCAGGTTCTTTATGACTGGCTACCTGCCGCTGGGATTTGAGTTTGCCGTGGAGCTGACCTATCCAGAATCGGAAGGCATATCGTCTGGCCTCCTCAACGTGTCTGCTCAGGTAGGTCTTCTTTGGTGGTACAGTGGCTCTTTGTCCCTTGTCCTACTTGGTTTGGGCATTGCATTGTGGCGGCTCAGTTCTACTGTGGGCTAGTTGACTGGCCACTTGTTTCCAGTCTTCTGTGTTCCTTCCCAGGTCTTTGGGATCATCTTCACCATCTCCCAGGGCCAGATTATCGAGAACTACGGAACCATGCCCGGGAACATCTTTCTGTGTGTTTTCCTTACCCTTGGAGCAGCCCTCACTGGTGAGTTGGGGCCTTAGGACAAGATGAGGCTCAGGCTGCTCATGGACTTAGGCAGTTTGGGACCTGGTGTCCTGATTGATTGTACAGATCAGGGGGTCACACGTAGGGTGGAGGGAAGGGCCTGTCAGGAAATTGGCTTGGGAGGCAGTACCATATTTTGGTGGAATGATCCTGGGCTTTGGAGATAGAAGACCCTTGTTTGAATCCCAGGCTTTGAGCTGTTTGACCTTGGACAAGTGGGCCAACCTCTGGGAGCCTTCAGTTTTCTAATCTACAAAATGGGGGCTATTGTGAGGATTAGAGCAATATATGCCATCGCTCTGGCAAATGTAAGTGATCTATAAAGCCACTGTCACTGGCTTCTGCCTGTCAGGGGTACTAGTGATCTCCGGGGTTCATTAGGTTAGGTGACAGTGTGCCCCTAGCTTCCTGAAATATCCAGAACAGGTCTGGGACACCTGTGACCCTTAGGAAAGTTGGGACTCCCTCTCTTGGATGAACTTGAGCAGTGGTCTGCTTGATAACTCAGTGTCTCTGATGCTCTTCCTTCTCGACCCCCTGACCTCAGCATTCATCAAGGCTGATCTCCGGAGGCAAAAAGCAAACAAAGAAACTCCTGAGAATGTATGTATGGGGAGCTTACTGGGCTGAAATCTGGGTCCCTGGCTGAGGACCGGGCAGCACGGTGGGGGTGGGGGAGCTCCCGGAGTAGCCACGCTCACAAACCTGACACCAGAGTTTTTCCCCTGCGGCTGTTTCAGCACCACCTTCCTGCCGCTCCTTCCCGGGCTGCTCTCCAGCGTCCTCCTCCTCTCCTGGCCTCCCTGCTCTGGTCTGCAGAGCGTGTCATTGTGGTCACTGTCTGCTGAGCAGCACCCACCCCTTCCTGGCCTCCTGAGCCCAGTTCTGGGGCCCTGACTGCTGCTTCAGCCTGGGGTCAGTGCTGGACAGGAAAGGTGGGAGCCTGGCTGCCTTCAGTCCCCAAGGCAGCGGCTCCCCTGGCTTGTGATGGCCCCTTAGGCAGTGCTATGGCCATATGGATGGCCAGTAGGCCCCTAAAAGGGTAAGTCAGGAGGCAGGAGCCGACGGTGGTAGGAGAGGAGAGAACCAGGAGTATGACCTGCAACAGAAAAGCACTTCCCTTCTGTTCTGATGGGCTGGGAACCATTAAATCTGAGGAGTGAGAGTGGGCTGTTTGTAAACAACAAAAAACAAAAACCCCTCTAAAACTTATTACAGAGGTAATACATATTCTTTATAGAAAAATTTAAAGTACAGAAAAGTGTACAAAATTTAAACATTATTACCCTGTAATGTCATCATCCAGAGGTGAGATGCTATTTTTTTGCACTGACCTGTATGTGTCCATATCCCTGAATAATATATATATGTGTGTATATGTATATCTATATGTTATATACACACACATATAAATTGTTTTTAAACAAACATGGAATCTTGTTTTTGATCTGCGTGGTGAACACTTACCAGCTCCTTAGTCCTTTACAACATACTTTTGTTTTTAAACAACACATTTTAATGATGGCACAGTGTTCTGTTCTGTGGGTGAGCCATGATTTAACAGTTTTCCTGCCCATGGACATTTAAATTGTGTCCAATTGTTGTTTTAAATCGCGCTGTGGGTCATGTTCTGGGAGCGGAAACTTTGCGCATGCGCTGAAGCGCAGCCTTGCCCCGGGCAGTGGCTCAGTGGTCAGGCACCCTTTTAAGACCTTGGTGTGTACAGCTAAGCCGTCCTCCAGCGAGGTGCGGTCCTTGCCACCCCGACTCACAGTGCGGGGGCCGGCCGCGTGTCAGAGTTGGCGCTGTGTGTCCGCTCGAGAACTGCCAGTTTTCTAAGGCAGAAATGGTGTCTGAAAGAGACGTATTTAGCGTGTTACAGACACGTGTTGGCAGACAGATGATAGTTACTTTCACGTTAGTACTTTCCTGTGCATCTCCTGATATCACACTGGAGTTGGCAGCGGCATGTGGAGGGAGGAGCTCGGCCAGAAACTTTGCTGGGGAGACAGGGAAGCCTCCGGGCAGGAATGCCCCTCCCCAGACGGGCTGGGGGCCAGGCATTGCCGCTGAGCAGGCGGGCTTGCGCTGGTGATTTGGAACGGTTTGGTGAAGGTAGAATGAGCCGGGGAAGTGTGCCTGGAATACAATGGGACAGATGTCTCCTGCAGAGGTTTCAGTTTGGAATGTGACGAGTTGTGTCGATCGATGTGAGATTTAGCCATGTTTACTTTACAATGCCCGCAAGAAGAAAGTGAAGGCTGCGGCAGTGCTGGCGCCCAGAGACAGCCTCGTGACGTTCTAGCCCACTCGTCAGCGTTGTTTCCAGCAGGAATGCTTGTGCACGTTCGGTTGCCTGCTTTGCTTGTCTACTTAGTACAGTTTGACTCTTTTCCACACCATTACCTTCTGTAACCTCATATCTGCACACCTCCATTTCTTTTTGTTGAATGTTTAGGTTGTTCCAGGATTTCACTACGGCAACCAAGTCCTTGTGCACTCAGGCCAGGTTAGTTACACAAGCTTGGGGTTGTCCGCTCAGTCCCCTGCTTTTTGGAGCATTGGGAATGGCACTGACTAGGAATAGAAGGCAAGTCCGGGGATGGTTCTCCACTGTCTGTGTCCCTGGGTACGTCGCTGTACATCTCTGGGCCTCGTGCATCTGGGGCAGCTTGTCAGGAGCAGGTCAGAGTCAGGCTGGGCTTGCCCTCGCTCCAGGCAGCTGGGGCTGTCTCAGAGCATCCCTTCTCTGGAGCCCGCCCTGGCAGTCAGTGTGTGTGAGCTCTGCACATTAGCACACAGGGTCGCTATCAGAGCCAGGTAAAGCCAGGCACACAGCAGATCTGGCCAGTACTGCTCTTCCTATTCAGGGAGGTGTATGGTTTCAGTAAAAAGATACAAAATCTATGGGCTGGGGTAATGACCAGCCTTGACTATGAAAGTCTCAGTTTAGGTTTCCATGTTTTTCCATTTGGAAGGGTGGTTGTACTTCCATTCCCACTATAATCTGTGTTTCTGGCTGATTTCAAGGCAATGGCTCTGGAGGAGGCAGGTGTGTGCAGATGTGTGTGCAGGTGTGCACATGTGTGGGTATGTACACATGCATACATGTGCCAGAGAGAGAGAGAGAGAGAGAGACTACCTGATTGACTTGTGTTGCCTGAATGAAGGCTTCCTGTGGCTGAGGCTGACCTGGACCCAAAGAGTTAACCAAACTGAGAGTGGGAAGGCTGATGTCCACAGTTGTCATTGCCCCGGACTGGCCCTGAGACACGCTCTGGGGAAGCACCGCTGACACAGGCTCTAACTCGGCCCTGCACACACTCCTCCAGCCAAATGGTTCTGGCTGCGCAGGGCTGTGTGGAGCCCAAGGCCTTCTCCCTAACTAGAGGAGCCCCTGAGCTATGAAGCAGAGTGCTCCTTAAAGAGCAAATGCCCAAGGTGGCTGTATGCCCCTAGTGTCCCCACAGGATATTTTCCAGGCCATGTTTAATTCCAAACCCACCTGACAAATGTGACTCAGAAGACTCCTTTAATCCTGTGCCATCTCTGCCTGAGAAAGCCAGAGCCAAACTGTCCCAAAGTCTCTTTTTCTGTGCATTAAGTATATATATATTTTAGTCACTGAGTTTATATATGCAGTTATGCATCCTGCCTTTATAAAAAATTTTTGTTGTATCCATTTCATACACATCATAATACTATTCCTCATGCTGGTGGCTACCTCCAAATGGGGGTACTTGGAAATTCAGAGGGAGCTGCAGCGTGGCACTTGGACAGCTACTCAATGGGCAGTGCAGGTGACCTGTGGGCTGTCGGACTGGGGAGGGACTGTGAGCGGAGAACAGTGGCACTCAGGGCAGGGTGGTTTGTGGTGACTGTGGCATCTCAGAAAGCTGGCCTTTTTGGTTTTTCCTTTGATGACACTGTGATGGGGTTGTGTGTGCACAGCTGTGTACATGGGCATGTGTGTGAGTTTGTGTTTAGGGGGCACGCTTGTACCAGAGGCTGGCACTTCTTTTCTTGTTCCCTTTGCTCACTCTCAAAGATGCTGGGTGGCCTGTGGCTCTTGTTTTTCTTGCTGATTACAGTCACTGACAGGGAGTTGCTCCAGCCTGGGTGGAGTCCCGTGCCTCTCCACCCAAGGGACTGCCTGCTTGTTTTGCCTTGTAGAAACTCCAGGAAGAGGAGGAAAAGGAGGAAAAGGAGGAGAACAATACCAGCAAAGCACCCACCACTGCATCTGAGGAGCACCTCTGAGAGAAAAAGGTGGTTGCGACTCAGGGAACACAGAACATGCCCCCCCGGCCCCTTTCAGCCAGCATGGCTCCCTCTGCCAGCACAAAGGTCTTTGCCAGCAGATTCTGGAGAGGACTGGCTGGAATATTTGTGGCTTGGATGGCGGTGCCTATGCTTCTGGAACCCACTCAAGAGCTTGCATAGTCTAGCTGGGGAAAATCATACCTTTTGCCCCGTGCAGATTTGATTCCCACTACCTCCCCTTCTAAGCTCTGAGAGCTGGCATTGGGAGAGGCTGGTAAGTGGTGGGGTCGATCCTGGCTTTGCACCTTGCCTTCCCCACCCTCACCTCCATTCCTCATGGAGAAAGTCTGCCAGATTATCACAGAAAGAAAGCTTATTCAGGATATTAACTTTTTTCTGGTGTCTCAAGACCCTTAGAAGCCCAATTCTAAGGAGCAGCAGCTGTTCTGGAAGAGTCATTGCTGGGTCATCAGACTGACTGCTAGGTTGCTGTGGGGAAGAAAGCACCATTGAAGAAATCCAGGGGCACTCTGGGCCTAGGTTCTCATGGCCTAATGTTGGGGTCTGTCTCCAAACCCTCTGTCCTAACAGCTGATCAAACCAAATGTCAATAAATTTGAGAAAGACTTTGTTGTGGCCATGAAAGAGCAGCTGACTTGGGAGAGGCACCCGCCCAGGTGTGTGAGGGAGCCAGGGGCTGCCTGCTGAGTGTGTGCATGAGGCCCATGTTGGGGAACCCAGGCAGCTGACTTGGAGAGGGGAGGTCCTTTTCTACAGAGGTTCTGTGTGTCACGGTCACCTCTGATGCCTCAGTCGGGACACCGCCTTGAGAAACTAGGTGCTCGTTTTCTCTGGAGGGAGGGAATACCAGCCAGTGTCCTGTAACTGTTACTGGAAACAAACCTTGATTCGTTCCCCCCTGAGAAATCCAAAGCTGCTGCTGTGATGAGAGGGGCAGAAGGAAAGGTGGCCTTGGACTGGGACTCAAGTCTGCTGGAAGTGAGTGGCTCCCACCTCTGGTGGGGACAGTATTTGCACACCCAGCCCCTTCTGGCAATAACCTTTTATCAGACGTTATGAATGTAAAGGGATTCCCTTTAAGGCAACCCAAGCTGACCGTCTCTCCTGCGGAACCTGCTGTCTGGCTCTACTCATAGGCTTGGGTAGCGTCTCCTGAAAAAAAGACATTTTGGTCATTTTCCCATACACTGAACAGCTCACTCATGTCCACTGTGCTGTTTTGCCTTGGCTACTGCCCGGGACTCAGCATATCGGAGCAGCCTGTGCTAGCAAGGGTTGGGGGGCTCGGGCCCCTGCTGGGGAGCCAGGGGTGTGCGTGCATGTGTGTGTGTGTGTGTGTGTACAGACAGCGTACAGAATCAAAGAAGTGCACACTTGGGGGGGGGGGAGTGAGTTAGGGGTTGAGAAGAGGTGGAGAAAAAGTAGGCCTCACTTTTTAATGAGGAGAAAGGTGTGTATATTCTTCAGCCCCTTAAAATGTATTAACAAGATATTTACCAAATCCATTGCTTTCTTTTAAAAAATAATCTATTTTCTATTTGTAAGCCACATGCTTGAAAGCAATTAAAGATTGTCCAAGAGGTCTGCCTTGTCATTTGATGGGGCAGAGATGGCTTTTTGGTAATCCCTGTGGGATTATCGCACATTTCTGAGGCCTGGAGGGGTGCAGTCCAGGGTGGGGGGGAGGACTGGGGCCAGAAGGGCAGCTCCTGTGGCCTTCCGTAGAAGTGGCCCTCCGTTTGCATAGGTGTCACATGCTAGTGGGTTCTTTTTCAAAGATGAGGCTGTAAAGGTCACCGTCGGCCTACGTGGGAGCCGGCCATGCAACATCCAGCGCCTGGCCCTGACCGCTCTCTGTGCTGTGGACACGTGAAGGCTCACTGAGCAGAAGGGTGGATGGGACAGCCCTCTGTTGGTTTGGGCTCTGCCTCAAAGGGTGGCCGAAGTGTTTGTTTTATCGCCACCCTGGCCACGTACTAGCATGCGCTGGCCAGAGCCCAGTTTCAGCGTCCCCGGTTCGGTAGAATGCCGTTTCCTCTGACCTTACTGCCGCCCTTCCCTTCTTCCCAGTTGTGCCTGCCTTGGGTCTGCTGCTTATGTCTGCTACAAAAACTGCCCTCAGTTTTTGTGCACGTCTTCTCCAGAGAGTTACACCTGTGCTGGTGGCATTCTGGCACCTTGTCTGTTAGCAATTCTGCTGTAGATCATTTAGGAAGGGAGCCAAGTCTGGGCTGTTCAGGAAATCTAAGAGTCATAGTGTCTGCTAACTCTACAATGCACATCATCTCTGTAGATCCTCTGGGATCTTTATTTGGAAGTGTACTTCCGTGATGCACACCTAGAGGATCTGAATCATCATTGCATTCACTCCTTTCTTAGGTGGGTTCCACGTGGATCTCCACCCAAATGTTAAAACTCTGTAAGACTGTTGCTTTTCTTCCTATCTCCTTACAATAGTTGGTAAGGGAAAGGTAGTTCTTGGCACTGAGCTATTTTTCTAGACATGGTATTGTGGGGATGTGAGCAAAACTGCTGCAACCATTTTTTGGCACCATAAAGGAAGCCAGCCTGAGGACAAAGCCAGCATGGGTGGGCAGGGCCAAACAAATCACAGAGAAATGGAGCTGTGTCCTGATCAAACTGTTCCTGAAGCCTACTATCCCCTTAACTTTACAGTTTTGTGAGCCAATGCTGTCTTTGTTGTTTAAGCTAGTTTAAGGTAGATTTTCTTTCACTCAGCGAAAGAGCCTTAGCTGATAGAGAATTTCCAAGGCATTTAAGTGTCAACTTCAAGCTTCCTTAGAAACTTAGAAACCGTCTAAGCCTTAGAAACCTCCTGCCTCCCTTTCTGATCTGCTGCTTTCCACTTCCTAACTTCACCATTGTAGTTACACTGCTTGATCGTACTGCTTGAACAAGCCTGCTCCTGCCTCTCAGATGTCGCTCCCGCTGACCTCAACATCTGCCAAGAATCTTCAGACACACACTACCCGGGCATTGAAATCTCAGTTAAAATCCTACCTTCCTCCTGGTGATATGTTAGGTGCTCCCCTCCCCTTCTTGATTACAATAGCTATTTTCTAGAATTCTTACTACTGTCCACAGTTATTCTTTCACTTGTTGGCTTTTCCGCTACCATTTTAAATTCTATTTAGAGCAACAAAGGCTCCACGATTACAGAAAGAGAACAGAACACTAGCGCCTGGGGCTGGTCCTGCTGCCCAGCGGGGGCCAAGTGCCAGTGAGCGGAAGCCCCACTGAGGCCAGTTTCAAGCAAAGCCAATGCTTCTTTTGAAAACTCTTTATATGATGCCATTTCTCTCTTTTTGTCTTCACTTTCTCCTCTATATCAGAATGAGTATCAGAATTCTTACAGCTGGCTACATAGTGTGCTCCCCGCTGCTGCCAAATTAATCTCAAGGACAGCACAAGGACGCCTGTATGACTGGCACTCCCTGCTCGACGTTCTGTCTGGGAGGAAGCCGAAGGGGGGCCCCCGTGCTGGAGGAGCGCGGGTGTGGCGTGGGCCATCCCAGTGGTGACCGTTCTCAGCACCTGAGTGGCCTACAGGCCGGGACGCCCCCACGGGCACCTCACTGCCAGATGAGTAGCAGCAAGGGCTCAGGCTGAGAGAGACTGCAGGCTTGCCCTTTCCGCCGAGCCGGAAACACAGTCCCAATGCAGGAAGCATCCGGCAGAGGGCACCCCCTGAGAAGCAACATTCCAGAATTTTCCTTCCTTTAGGGTCCGTGTATATTCCAGTCTTTGGGGGCCCATGGAGCCTGCAGCTATGAGGCAGCCTTGTTAAGTAGCACATGCGGGAACTGCTTCAGGCCACACGGGCCATTCTGTCCACAGCTTCTCCTGTGAACCCATCGCAGACTAGCAGACAAGTGGGAAAAGGAATGGACCCGCACCTGCTCTGCCGGATTGGGAACCAAGCAATGCACATGACCTGCGTTCTGGCCAAACCAAAAGGGGATGACTTGAAGCCAAGTGGAAGGGTGTTTTCCCTTTAAGACTCTACCTGCTCGATTCAAATACCTACCATTCACTTCAGTGGGTGGGAACATTCCAAATGTTTTGTTACCTCAGCTGAACTGTCTGGAGAATGTTGAGTAACGTGGATTTTTCTGCTTTCACCTAGAAATGGTTAAGAATTGGGAGCCTCCAAAGCACCAGACCCCAGTGTCAGTCTGTGAATTGAAGAAAAACACCCTCCTGTGGGCAGAGAGACCTGTACCTACAGCGATATTACTTCTAGTTCACTGTCAAATTTTTAACAGAGAAAAACAGATTTTCATTGACAGAGTCTTTACAGACCATACCCAAACCGTCATCAAAGCACACGGGAGCCCAGCAGCAAATCTTCCATTTCCTTGCCTACAAAGGATGGACCACGGGAACAGGGTCACTGCCTGGGTCAGTCATTTCTGTTCCCCCAGTGTCTGGCGTGGAGTATGTGCTCAATAAATACTTGTTGAGATCACGAACGGGCCCTTGGGTCTGTGTGCTGCAGGTTCTGTGTCTGGGGAGCAGCTGTCCGCCCCGTGCACTCTCCTCGGGGTTCAGTGCTCCCCTCTCCATCGCCGCGCCACTGTTTCTTCTGTGCTGCCTGGTTCTGTGTTTCGCCTCTGCTTTCTCAAGAATCTGATTCTTCCATTGGGAGAAAACAAGAAAGGACCCTGACTGTTCAGTTGTGGCCTCAGAATCCTGAAGTGGGGGCAGGAGAGGAGGAAGATTTGACTTCGAGAGAAATGAATGTGTGATGAAAGGGGCAGGAGGCAGCCCATCTGCCTGGCTGCTGGGCTGGCCCACTCAGCACAGTGCATCTGAGCAGCAGAAAGCTGCGGTTCTCCTGCGCTAGGGCTCAGAGGGGGGCGGAAGTGCTCTGGGCATAAGGGTGGTCAAAGTAAAAGGACTGATCAGCACAGAGGGTTTTTCAATTTATTACAAAACTCTTAAACAAATACAGCTGACCAGAAGGTCTAAAAACAGCCCAGACTCTTGCGACCACAATCTGTCTGAAATACAGGATGTCAGCCACGCACGCTCACAGGGGAGCCCTTCTTGGAAGAACTGCCTGCTCCTTGGGTGGTTGGGAGTCCCGGGTCCAGCGGCACAGGAGCCCAGCGCGTGTGGACAGCCCCGTGAAGCAGCCCTTGGTGGCAGCTGCTCTGGGTGAGGCAGCAGCTTTGAGTTTCACAGTCCGTACGTTCCCCACACAAAGCAGGTCAAGGGGCAGAAATAGCAGGAAAATGGCAGAAGGCTCAAAAGACATCCTCGGAGAGGCTGTGGTGGGGGGAGGGCACATGGAGGGCTTCAGAGGTGCTGGCAATTTTCTGATCTGGATGGATTTACAGAAGCATCCCTTTCAAATGATTCTTTAAATTGTTCGTTAAGTGTTAACATACTTTCTGTGTGCATGTGATATCTTTAAATGTAATAAAAAACCAAAACGACATAAAAGACTGGAGGCAGCGAAGGAGGCTGATGATGGAGCAGAAAAGAAAAAAAATGAAAGTTCGGAGGATGAGGGAAGAAGACAGCCAAGATGGAAGATGAAGTCTCGGAGGAGGTAATGTTGGCCTCAGTTTCTCTTCTTCTGTTTGGATACTGGTTCTGCTTCTAGGTATCGGAGCCCCACAAGCATACCCAGGATTGAGAAACCTTAAACACAGACAGAGGATTAGTGGCCCACGTACGCATGGTGCTCTCTTGCACCCCTGGTACGCCTACTGGAGCTGGGACAGTTCCCGTGGGAGGTCTAGGGTGGTGCATGCTTACTTGCCACCATCAGGGGTGCCAGGACGCCAACTGTGGGAGCTGCGGTCCCGTATACAAACAACTCAGAAAGGAAGTGCCCCAGAGCGAGGAGGAAGGTCCAGAGCGTGATGTGGTAGAGCCTACAGTGGAGCAGACAGAAGGAAGAACTGAGTGCTGCTTGCTCTGTGCAGAGGGAAAGTGATGGTCAGGCCTGAAGCACACAAGTAGCAACCCAGGAAGTGGCTGTGGCTAAAGGGAAGGAGCCGCGGTCCTAGGAAAGAGCTGCCTGCTCGGTCACATCCACTCCCCACTAGGGCAAACCTGAAGGTTTCCACTGCTAAACTGAAAGGAGAATGGTCCAGGCATCTGGAGGGGATCTCCAAGGCTTAGGTATAGCAAAGCAGGGTCTGGATTCTGGCAATTCCGGGCAGTGTAGACACTTTTGGATCAGCCATGCTTATATATTCCACTTACTCAGACTGGCTTGACTCGGTAATCTGCGCCCACCTGGCAGGTGTTCGGGCAGGGGCTGGTCGCTGCTCATATGATGGATGCCACAGAATGAAGGGGAATGAGTAGCAAGGACCCCTCAGGTGCTTTTACATGCTCTTGCACTGTGGGCTGGTTATCTGGGCTTAGCCTGGGAGAGTGGTCAGATGGAGGACCCGGTGACAATCTCATGGGAAGAGGACTTGTTCCTCGGCTTTGACAAAAGGGTGGGGAAGAGGCAAGCTACAGAATGATCGACCACCTGGACTGCTGACATCTTTTTTTTAAACTGACATTTTTAAAATTATGAAATCTCTAAACATACAAAAAATTATAGATAATAGGATACTATAATTAACCCCTATACAACCAATACCTTCCTCCATCAAATCTAGACATTTTGACATTTCCGCCTCACATACTTTTTTTCTAAGAAATGAAATACTAGTTATCTGTTAAAACACCCTGTGATCCTTATCGCGCCGGATCCCACTCTCCTGCCTCCCTCCTCCCCAGAAGGAAAGGGTCTTAAATTTGATGCTCATGCTTCCTGTGCAAGTTTTTATATATTTAGTGAACATGGGAGTTGACTTTGAGTTTCCAGTTAGGGAGGGAACAGAACCAGAGGGCACATCAGAAGTACGGAGAGACAAAAGTCCCAGGCCAAGACGTGGTTGGAAACACAGGTCAGCATTTGCAGTGGCCGTGTACTGGGAGGTGGGGGAATGAATGGGTAACAGGTGAAGACAAGTCCGAGTTGCTTTTGCCCGTTCTGAAAAGCACAGCAAACAAAATATATTACCCCTTGGATCTATCAGCAGTTCCTCACCATGGTAAAGGTCTTTAGAATGATTACTCAATCCTCACTCCCACCCAGGCACCCTGAGAGGCAGAACAGAAACACTAGCATCATTTTATACATGAAGAGACCGACATGCGAAAGGTACACAATGCACAGGCCACTGCAAAGCTCTTCACTAATAGAACTGAGACCAGAGCGCACTTGTTTTCATTCTCAGGCCCCAGGCTGTTTACACTAAACCAACATTCCCCAGATTTGTGTGAACCTAAAACAAATAAACCAGTTTCAAGCTCAATAAAAAGTAAAGTTGGAGAGATTGCAGGGCTAACAGCTCTGCTTCAAACCCCACTTGAGTCAGTCTTTCTCAGATTAAATCAACTGCACCTCCCATGAGTAGACCTGCAAAATCGGGAATGAAAATCACTGCCTCCCCCTGCGGCTGGGAGACTTAATCAGGACCACATACATGAAAGCTCCTGGCAAAATAACGGGCTCAGTAAATATCATTACCTCCTCTCCTCCCCGGATGCTGAGGGTCTAGGTCAGATGGAAAAAATATTTTATGTGAAGTTGGTGTTTTGTGGCCTCACCCACTCTGACCTGAGCAAACTTTTCCTTGATGTGGTGATGACTGTTGCTGGGAACAGGGCTCTAGCCCCCTCCAGTGGCCAGCACTGGTTACAGCACTCTCTAGAAGAGGCTATGGCCAAGCGCTTGTCCCACACTCATCTGAGTGCCCTCCAGAAGCAGAACACAGAGGAGTCCTGGGTCCTCTTTCAACCTCCTCTGCGTAAGCACACAACAGTTTACTTGCAGGCTCCTTTTCTTAGCATTGTAATTCTTTTCATTCCTGCCTAAGGGGGCATGTGAGAATAAGGTATGCGTGGGTGGCTGCTCTAAAAAGAGCACACTACTGTACTTCTTTAGTAGAAGAGAGGCTGATTCTTCAGTAAAGAAGTAGGGGGTTGGATGCAGGACCCTGGGTGAGCACTGCCAACGTGCTATGTCAGTTCAAAAGAATTTTCAAACCTTAAAGACCTGCTAGGCCTACTGTGTTCTTTAGGCCTGGAAGGGATGGAACTTACGGACCTTTTATGATCCACATCCTAGGCTGATGTATCAAAATTAATAGGTCTCCGAGGGGAGGACCACAGTGGGTATACATAACACCCAAGTTACAATAAAAGGATGCTAAACTCTTCCTTCCCTTACATACGTCTTGTTGTGGATGTCAATGGCACAGAGGCAGCGAATCACTGATGAGAGCAGTGTCCAGATTCCAAAGGTCCGAGCTTGGAGGCCATTCACTGTGTAGCAGAAAAAAGCAAAAGTATTGAGAAGAAGGTCAGGGTCCCTTCCAAACTCTTCCTACTTCACTGGTGTTTCAGGGGAGGCAGGGAGCTGGACCTGAACTCCCTTTGGCTGGGCACAGTGGAGGCTCTGGTGCTGCACATGGGAACAAGGAGGAGTGGAAGGAGTTCTGGAATAAGAACTGCTCAGCTCCTCTTCAAATGCCTGCAGCTGGGCAGGGGAGCTCCCAGAGTGGCAATCCAACAGAGAGCCCACTTGAGCAAATAACTGCTAGATGTAGTGGTTTATGCCTCTGCCCTGGACGCCAGTCTGGTGCTGGGGAAGCCCAGTGAACCTGGGTCAGGACAGGTTTGGGGGAATGTTGCAGAGAGTGGTCTGGCAATACAAGATACCTGGGAGGTCAGCAGACTTTCAAGGCTGGTGTAGGAGAGAACTCAGAAATAAAGGATCCTTTTATGATGGCCACATCTGGTCTTTCAGAGACCCAAGTGCCTGGGTCTTCTCTGAATCCACATCCATATTATTGGACAGAGCCCAGACCAGGCTGGTTTCCTATGCACATGGTAGTGGAACAAAGCACCATTTCTGTAGCATTTGCCAAGGCCACCCTGTTCTTGCTGGCTGTGTTCCGACACTGCTATATTAAATATCTTTTCCTGAAAGTACGGATGATATTCCACCGCAAGTGTTCTGGACCCTGGGCATTTATTAGACTCAAGTGAAAAAGTTTTATAAAATTACCAAGACCTGGGTACCAGACCAGTTAAATCCTACTCTCTGGAGGTGGGCCTCTAGGCATATGCATTTTCTCAGAACCCCCTCCCTTGGTGATTGCAATGTACAGCCATTGACCTAAGGCATTCAGTAGAAGACCTCTGGATGGTAGCCAGGTGAAAAAAATTCTATATGCCAACCAAATATCTAGCAGTTAGCCCCAGTGGGCTACATTCTTTAGAAACCAATTTGAGCCCTGGCTGGTATAGCTCAATGGACTGAGCGTGGGCCTTCGAACCAAACAACTGTGGTTCAATTCCCAGTCAGGGCACATGCCTGGGTTGCAGGCCAGTTCCCAGCAGGAGATGCAAGAAAGGCAACCATATATTGATATTTCTTTCCCTCCCTCTTTCCCTTCCCCTCTAAAGATAAATAAATAAAATCTTAAAACAATTTGATAGCTTTTCAGATGAAAAGACTGAGGAAATGTCTGTAGTTGGTGAGATGTGAAAGTGAAATATTTCACCAACCCAACTAGATGAGGCATCAGGTAAAATTCTACTGCAGTACGGATATAATCAGCAGAGAACCATGACAGCACCCAGATCACGAGGAGGAGGCAGTCTGTACTTCTGGGCTGGAAACAGACAGACAGAGAGACAGACAAACACATGCATGCATGCGCGCACACACACACACACACCCTTCTTTTGCTCAGCTCTATGACCTTCAGCAAGTCACATGACCCCTGGGCTTCTCTGTTTCAACTTAAATTCAAAAAGCTAGACCAGATAACCTCTAAAATCCCGTGAATCTGTACGGGACTCCTAGACCAACTGAGGGCAGTGTTTGAGGGTGAAAAAGTGAAACTGTGTTGGCCCCCTTTCCTCAAATACACTCTTACTGTATTTGAGCGCTGTTCAAAATGAGCCCGAGCCTACTTAATTTCATTCTGTACCTGGATGCTGCAGAAAAACGAGCTGGGTCAGAGCCCAAATCTGGGTTAGCTATAAATGTGACACAGAATTGTCAGCTGCCGTGAAACCACGCTGCAGCTCAAACCACCCCACGCAGCAGCGGGAGGGAGTGCGAGCTGAAACGTGAAAACGCTGTCCTCGGGAGGCTCAGGAAACTGGGAAAGGCCACCATGACCTTCTGAAGTTTCATTTTTGGGAGACAAACTTGGAGGGATCTGGGCTGTCTTCTCAGGGACTATGTTCCAGTTTGGGGAGACCATGGACTAGTAACTCTCCATCTGCAACATGGAATGTAACATGTGTGCCATGACGTGATTTCTGAAGATGGTTGCAATGACATGAAAAGCTTCTTTATGGCTTTCTCATGGAGCTTCACAGAGTCACCAAGTAACTCTATTTCCTCATTTGCTCTTGTAATGCTTTTTAATAGACTGCCTAGGGCAGTGTAAAATGAATGAAAAGGTATTCAGAGAGGCTTTGGAGGGAAAAATGGCCCTAGGGCTATCCATGAAATTTATTACTCTATTGGCTGCCAAAGGCTAGATTAGGCAGCATCAGAATCACCTGGATAGTTGTTAAAAAATACATGCCTGGGCTCCACCTAGGGGGTCAAAGTTGCAATAAATAGGTTTGGAGAGGGAAATGGGCACCTGCATTTTGTTTATATGTCTCCTAGTCAGTTATTCTCATGTACAGACCACGAGGTCAGTCAGTCCCACAGAAGGTGCAGTCCTTTGACTTCTTACCCAGGTTTGGCTTGCCGGTATAGAGCTTTTCATAGAGAAAGGTGTGGTCTCGGAAGCTCTGTAGTGTGTTCCCCATGGCTATGATGGACACCATAACCAGCCAGCTTCGTAATACATTCAGAAAACGGCTCATGACTCTCTGGATGTGTGAGAAGGCTTCTTGCCTTGGAAACAAAGGCAGAGAATGTGAGACAACAAATGGTTAATCTACGGCCATAAGCTCTCTCACCCCTGTAGTTAACCTGTGTCCCATTTGAGAGGGCTATACCAAGCTTCTTTTGTCCATCTCTTCATAAATTCCTCTGCAAGTCCCCTGGGCTCATCCACCCCCACTCGCCTTAACACACTACTTTGACCTTCACAGAATTAGCACACTGCCTTTGAACATTTGCCCTAAACCAAAGTGTGTTTGACATTTACCCTGAGTGAAAAAGGCTAAATAATGCATTGGGTAGACATGACAAACCCAGTGGAAAAGGTGGAGATAAAAAAGGGAGCAGTAGAAGAGGAGGTGTACAACTATTTCTAAAAAGTAACAAAGTGGATTTATGTGTAAGGCTTACAGAAACTGGTCTCAGTAGTTAGTCATACTAATAGTGTTGAATCAACAGCATACTTTACAAAAAATGGCACAATACTTACCCTTGTCTTGAGCAACTTCTCCAAAATGTTACCCTTACATCAGGATTCTTTTTACTTGGCTGAATCAGTCTTACATCTCTACTTCTAGACTGGTTTTTCAGGTCATTCCTTTGTAATGCAGGTGGCCAAAAGGTAATTGTATCAACAAATCTACTGACAAGTACCTGTCTGGCTATTGATGACAGGTCCCTCCAAGTGCATGGAAGGCTTACACATTTCAGTAGAACCAATGGTGGGAGGGCAATATTTACTTCCTCAGGTTTTCTCTAATCTGCTCTCAGGTACACCATGCTCCATAATCTAAGAAGAACACTATAAGAGTTCAATAAACTGCCGTGACTTGAGAACTAGTAAGAAACTACGTGGAGAAGGAAACAACAACGATGGCACTAGGTTGCGGGAGAAATTATAATAGTTAACAGTTACTGGGCGCTGGTATGTGCCATGAACTGTGACAGCATCCAACATATACTGTAGGCACTGGTAACATTTCCATTTTATACATGAGGGTTGGCACAGAGAGGCTAAATGATTTGCTCGAAGCTAAACAGCTAATATATGGCTGACTGATTGAGACATGAGGCATGGTCTGTTGGACCCTACTTTGCAATGCTGCCCCACTGAGAATATTTTGATGAAGTCTCCATTTTTGAGGAAGACAATCATACTATATCCTCTTTCGTCTTCAGGTTGTATAGAAAATACTAAGTTATGTACATCTAATAGTATTAGTTTTCATCTTCATTATGTTTTTTGGCCCATGGTTTCTGCTGTCAGGTTAACTTCTTGGGCTTGAAGTGATGAGCAACTATCAGGCTTCTTTGGACACTCTGGCAGAAAAAGTTTCAGTGTGGCCCTACAATTCCCAGGTGAAACAGATCCATATCAAAGTCAGACATAGCTTAAGATAGCGAGAAGCACCAAAAAACAAAAAAGAACAAGAGAGGAGGAAGGGTGAATAAATAAATCCCTTGGGGAAAGGTGGATCACCGGGTGGACTTTGTCCAAGTCCAAAGAGAATAACAGGGTTTTACCAAACATCACAAGCAGTTACAGCCCGGGGCCAATATATGCCCCCACTCCCACCCCTGCTCCCCAATTCTCCCTACTTTCTTACTCTCCCTCAATAGGAGACTCAGGGTCACGCTTCCAGGCGTCAGAAAAGGTGCATGGATGGCCCCCTGTTTTTGATAGAACTTACACCTTTCATTTCACAAAAGCTCTTAGAAATCCCAACAGCTGATGAGGGCAGAGCCTGAGCATTCTTCTGAACTGCTCTACCAGTCCCTCCACTCCACTTCCCTAAAGCTTGAAGGCTTCCCAGATTACCCGACATCTATTCTCAGATTTTGCCCTGGCCCAGCCCAGCAAAGGTGTGGTGTTAAAACTTGAGTAAGGAGAGAGGCGTTCCTATCCTGGCCACCATTTAGTAGCTGTGTGACCCTGGGCAAATCATTTGCACTTTACAGCCTAGGTTTCCGCACCTGCAAATTGGAGGTAAAAGAACTAACACATCAAGGAATATTCTCCTTACCTGGCGACTGGACTCCCAGCCCAGAAGCAGCAGCAGCAGCACCAGCACTAGCAACAGCAGCAAAGATTCTACCCCAAAACAGCTCCTCGGGCTACCTGAGCCATTCGTCTCGGCCCCACCTTCACCAGGCTCCACGATTGGGCCGTTTCTGTCAGTCCTCGCTCTTATTGGCTGTTCCCGTTCTGCTCGAGCAGGAGATGGGGCGTGAACCCTTACTGCCAATCAGCGGTTGCCGCTGTTCAAGTCTCACCCAGGGTACGCCGCTCACACCGTAAACCCGCCTGTTGAGCGTGGCGGAAGAACTCTAGGCTCGGATTCAACCCTTTGTGGGCGGTGGAAAAATCATCGGAGAGAAGAAGATTCTTCTGCGGATATCAGGCTCTGAGCCCGCGCTGCGCGGTGGTGACGACATTCTTCTGCGCCCGAAGCCGAGCGTTGTCCGCACCGGGTGGCGGGCGCCTGCGCAGTGGCTCCGAGCGGGCGGTTGCTTGTTGGTTGTTGTAGTAACGGGGGAAGCAGCCGTCCGCTGCAGCAGTGAGCCGGGCTGGGGAAGGAAGAGAGAAGTTGTCGCAGAGCGCGATCCCGGCCTGCCTGCCCCGGAGCAATGGGAAGATGAGACAGGTACACGCCTGCGCCCTCCGCGACCTTAGTTAGGTGCGTTCCCGCGTCCCAGCGGGTGCGGTCAGCTGCATTTCCCTAATAGAGTCCGGGAGCAGCTGTGGGCTTCCGGGAGCTTTGGGCTTAATTGCTTCAGCGGAGTAGCCTGCATCGTTCCCGCGGAGACCATCTGCAGACCTACCCGGGATTGGGGTGAGCCAGGGATGGGGCTGAGGGGGTTGATCCTTTAGGAGCGTGGACGCTTCTTGGACTAGTGTCCTTAATCTTCTTCCGGACGTCCTGCCCTGTCTGTACCCTCTTCGCAGGCAGTTTAGGACAAGTTGGCATCCCTTCCTGGTTGGAGATTTTTTTTTTAATTGAAAGGACATGCCAACTTTTGTGAAATATTGAGAAATCCTATTGGGAATCTTCAGAAGAAAGCTTTTGGAGGTTGTTAGATATTGCCCATTCCGCTGAAAATCTATCCGTAGGGATCGTTATTGGGATCGGCACCTTTGGTTCAGTTTATAATTTGATTGTATATATGAATGCATAGCAAAGTGAGGTTTGGAGAGATTCAAATCAAGTAGTTATCTCTGGATTATGGGATTATGATCATTTAAAAATTTTCATTGCCTTTATCTAATCTCTATTCTTTCTCAAACACAGTGAACATATACTTTTACCCTATGGAGATTTTTTTTAGATTAGAAATTGGGAATATCTTAATTTTAATGTGTATTTGAGATTCAGGTCACAGATTGTGATTTTTAACAAGAGAGAGTAATTTTTGAGAGTGTTGGAAGGACTTTTTTTTGGCTCTTTGTTATCTTGATTCAGGAGAATATATTCATCTTTTGGTTCAGTGGTTGAATGTTAGTGGAAACATGAGGGCATTTTATCTGTGTGTTTGTCATAGAGGCTAAAGAAATATTTGCAAGGATCTTAAATCTTGAATTTTTAATTTTAGCCCTGGTCAGGTTTTTTTTAGCAAGAAATCTGTGTTTTAGGCATTCTCCTACCTCAGACTACTCCCAAAAGTTAAGTAAGTCTGTCTTTTTGGTGCATGTTAGACACTATATATAAAAGAAAAACGAGAAACCTGAACTTAATAAGAGTTCTTAAAATACATAGAGGACACACAGTATATTTGGGGAAAAAAACCCTTGATTTTGGGAGCATATGTGAAGAACTGTGATAGACAGTAAGCTTCTATAGGCTGGACACCATTTAGGTAAATATTCTTGGAAGATCATCAGCAGTAATCAGCAAGTAGACGTTGCGTCGTGTTTTATACCATTTGGCTCTCCCACAGGTATCTGTGCCACCCAAACTGTTTGATCCTGTGAATCTGCAAGGAAAGGTCTCTGAGGCCCCTGTCTGCTGACTGCATGACAAACCCTAAAGGAAATGCCAATCGTGATGGCCCGGGACCTGGAGGAAACAGCATCGTCCTCAGAGGATGAGGAGGTGGTAAACCAAGAGTAAGTGACAGTCAGCCTGCTCTTGAACCTTTGTAGAATGGAAAACAATTCTCTTTTACTGATACATTCTTTTAAAAAATTATTATTATTATTATTATTTTATTTCTGGGGACAGTGAAACAAAGAGCTTAGGATAGAAGAAGCAACAGGAGAGAGCCTAGGTGGGGCTGCTTTGGCTCCTAGGAGTGTTACAGGGAAGAATTCAGGGAAGAGATGGAGCTGCTTGGACTCACTGGAAAGTCAGAGGAAGGGGGGCCTTGGAGACAGTTCATCAATTAGCGGAGGGGAGCTGCTGCTGCCCACTGTGCCCTGGTTGCACTGGGATCCCTTCCAGTTTAAGAGATGCATGCCTGCGGGGAAAGAAAAAGGGGAAGGGAAAGATGCGGGTGTGCTCCTGGGAGGGAGAGTGCATAGTCATATATATTCTTTTACCCAGTATCCTTCTTTTGGTATTGTCTGACGCTGGCCTTAGCTTCTATCCACGATCTAGTTGAAGATCTTATTGTTCTGTCCTTGTCTGAAAGGAGATGAGGCTCTGGACTTGTCTAGAGCGTGAACATTGGCTCTAGATGTTCCAGGTAATAGCTCTTAGAAAACTCCTGATCAGAGCTCCAAACATAGGAGATTTTAAAATGTTAAGATATTAAGGAAAAGTAGGTCTCCAAGCACAGTGACGCTGATTATGTTACTTTCTCAAAAACCTTTGCAGGAGTGTCCAACCGTTTGGCATCTCTGGGCCACACTGGAAGAAGAGGAGTTGTCTTGGGTCACACATTAAATACACAAACACTAACAAAAACAAAAAAAATCTCATCACATTTTAAGTAAATTTATGATTTTGTGTTGGGCCACATTCATAGCCATCCTGGGCCACATGTGACTAGTGGGCTGAGGGTTGGACACCCCTGCTTGGCAGTGATAGAATGATGACAAAATAGGTCAGGGAATTTACCAGAGTCCCCCTGGGGCTGGACATTACGGTGCTACAGCCTGTGCTGTGCCTGCCGAGCTGCATTGCTTTCCTGAGTTCCTCTGGGTAAGAGGCAGAGTTCTTGATTGCTGGGTTCTCGTAGTAATAAGAATATAAATGCTAGTGGTAATGAGGGCTTTAACTACCGCATCTCGTTTAATAGCAAGTTGTTATTATTCCCAGTCTATTAAACTCATCCTCACCAATATCAAAGTACTTCCTTAGGGATGGTAGAACGTAAGCGGCGGGTTGAGATTCAGACCTAGTTTTACTGAATTTTGAAGCACTTTGCTATTTTACCTCCCTTAACCTTATTACTTGACACAGAGAACAGAGAGAAAAAAACTGACTTATAATTAAAATTAGTTTTTAAGGTTCCCTACAAGTTCCCATGGAAATGTGTATGCTGTATAACCGGAAAAAATTGGGATAGTATCTCTTCAGGCTATTTTGTAGGAATATGGTCAGGACTAAGTAGAATAATGTATATGAAATAACTTTGTAAATTATAAAGTGCCGTACATACATAAGGCCTTATTCTTACCTAAATATTGAACTTAAAGTAGACTTCTTTTTTTAAAAAGAAATTAGGGTTTAAAAATTTCTTTTTTAAATTTTACTTTAGAGAGAGAGAAAAGAAGGGGGGGAGAGAGAGATGGAGAAGCATCAGTTTGTTGTTCCACTTATTCATGCACTTGATTCCTCCTGTGCCTGCCCCGACCGGGGATCAAACCAGCAACCTTGGCATATTGGGAACAGTGTTCTAACCAACTGAGCAACCTGGCCAGGGCCAACATGGACTTCTTATTATAAAATGAAAATTTTTATTATTTAATATTATAACTTGAAAAAACTATTGAAGCATTAACAAAGCTTTGGGGAAAGGCTTTTCATCACGATTGGGTGGTAGAAAATAATAGAGATTTGACATTATATTTGGGTCACTCTCATTTAGGATAATTAAGTGGATCCTTCCCCGAGGTCACTTTGCCTCCTTATGACTTCTTGCTTTCTGTGTGCAGCTTCTTACCCATTTCACAGAATTTTAACTTCTCTAAGCATCAGTCTTTTCGTTTCTTTTACTCCATAAATATCTGTCTGGTTAGTGGGGTCAGAGGTTGAGCCTCTGACAAGTGTTAGGTTGAACTGTACGAAATTGCCATTTTGGTAGGTCACAAACAGTCGAATATTGACAGTTTCAGGTGGTTCGACCTAGTATCCTCGTAGGTACTTCATAGGTACTGACTGAACGAGTAAGCATGATATAGTTCACGTTAGCTCAGGTATTCTTAACCTTTTTAACGCTGTGGATTCCGGATCAGAGTAATGCTTTTAAGTGCATAAAATACAATACAGATCATTAAAAAGATGACAATTACATTGAAATGCACTTATCAAAAAATTTTTTAAAACTTACTTGTGATACAGTAATTTGTGCTTTCTTATAAATTAAATAACAAGATCATTCATTAAAACATGGGGAAGTGAAATTTTATTTTCTAAAGACAACAGCATGAAGGCTTTTTGCTTAGTTTGTGGGAGACGATTACCTTGTGGGGTAGATTAATACTTAGAAGTGGGGTACTGGGAAAGATTGCAGGCAGATGTTGGGACAACCAGTGTGAGATGAGCCTGTTGGGTGGCCGAATACTTGCCTGGGGGAGAGATGCCACGTCGTTGTGTAGCCTCATCACACCGGAAGAGGAAGGCTGTGACCCCAGATGATCTAGTGGCAAGTTTTGTAACATAACTTAGAGATAATGATAAATATAAATGATGTTTTAATACACAGGCATCCATTCAAAACGGTATAAAAATCTAATAGTGTTGCACTTTGCTGCCTTGTATTCATAATTGAGAAATATTACATTTCTGGTAGAAATTACCGAGAATAAAGGTGTCCCATGCCCCTCCCCACTTCCCCTTCTCCCAAATTCATGGACCTTTTGCTCCCTTTTTTCCAACTCTCACTGTTGATTTTTGACTGCTACTGTTGTTCCATCAGCTCTCGTCTTATCCGTCAGATGTTTGTTTCATCCATTAGCAGCCTTAGGTCAGTCTTGTTCACACTTAGTGCAGTAGGCTCACATTTAAAGAGTCTTTGGAAATTAGAAGGCCTTAAATCATCTGAGGTTGTTGATTTAATCCAGTGATGTATTTCCATGGACATCTGTCAGGTCTGCTCGGATTCCTAGGCTATGTTAAAGTATTATTTTTTAATTTTTTAAACTTTATTTTTTTATCCTTAGAGGGGAAGGGAAGGAGAGAGGGAGAGAAATATCAATGTAGGGTTGCCTCTCGTGCATTCCCTGCTGGGAATTGGCCTGCAACCCGGGCATGTGCCCTGACTGAAAATCAAACCGTTTTGGTTCACAGGCCCGTGTTCAGTCCACCGAGCTACACCAGCCAGGGTGTGTTAAAGTACTAATGCCTTGTGATCCTGGACTTTAGGACTAGAAACTGACAAAAAGTGCCCATGCAGTCCTTGTTTTGCATGGCTTTATCTCAAATAGTCAATGTAAAGGGGCTCTTATATTTTGCTTGGGGATCCTGAATACAGACTTAATATATAGACATGGAAACTTTCATAAAAGGATTTGATATTTGTTTTGTCACTGACAAATAGTTTAACTTTAACTTGTATCATAAAAGCTGGCTTTGCCCTGACCAGTGTGGCTCGGCTGGCAGGCCATCTTCCCGCAAGGTGAGAGATTGCTGGTTCGATTCCCAGTCAAGGCACGTGCTTGGGTTGTGGGCTAGTTCCCCTGTCGGTTCTCCCTTTCTTCCCCTCTCTCTAAAAATAAGTAAAATCTTTTTTTTTTCTTTTTTAAAGCTGGCTTTATGTTGGTTGAAAAGATCATCAACATTTACATGGGAAAAATAAAAGGCCATACACGAGTGATTATACAGTGAGTGCTACAGGAGTTCAGAGAAGAAGGCATCACTGAGGGATGCAGGAACTGGGCCAGGCTCCAGGGAGCTGGGCCTTGGAGACTGGGATTGAACGAGCAGAGAGACGTGGGGAAGGCATTTCCAGCAGGGGCTTGGTACTAATAAGGCATGGAAGCTTTGAGTTATGTAGGCTGCATCCCAGGAGTGAATAATAATATATTCCTCATGAAATTGCTTCTTAAAAATCAAAATGTTCTTAGGCTTTCAATAAAGCAAATTGTAAAACTGGTCTACCTTGGTCATTAATCATTCAAATGCTTCGCCCTTTCCTGCCTGTAAAGCAGGTGTGCCCAGCCTTTTGGCCTCTCTGGGCCATCCTGGAAGAAGAAGGGGTGTCTTGGGCCACACATTAGATGCAGTGTGACACGTAATAACAAAAAGAAATCTCATAATGCTTTAAGTAAATTTATAGTTTTGTGTTGGGCCGCATTCATAGCCGTCCTGAGCCTCACATGACCCAGAGACTGCTGGTTGGACACCCCGAGCACGTTTTCTTAACATGTACCTGTTTCTGGTATAAAAGGACGTTTAAGATCCATAGTAATCATTTTGACTCTTTTCCCTTTAGCACCACGTGGTGGGAGCACAATTTTAATGGCGGTTTAGCATCTGCCTTAAGTATGTTTTAGTTGGCCTTATTGAATTAATAAGTCGTCCACTGCCTGTCTTATCTTTTTCTACGTTTTAGGTGAAAAGATTTCTCCGTCAGGGACCTGGCCTGCCCCGGAGAGTGTAGTTAGGGCCTTGCCTCTGCTCCGCTTGTTTGTGTCCTGACTCGCGTCAGTCTTACCCCGTGACCCGCAGTTGTAAGTGATGAGGCACAGCTGTGCCGGTTTGTAGGCAGTGCTGGATTGACCAGGAGCTTTGGACAGTTTCCAAGGTTTCTGTCCAAGACTTTGTCATTTGGGCCGCCTATTTTTTCCCTCTATCCTGCGACTTGGAAGTATAGTGGAAAAATTAAAGTTGGAAGAGATCAGGCATAGTCTGGCCCCATGCCCACACTTTACAGGTGTTTAAAATTAAAAAGCAAACAATTCTTTTTGCTGAAAAATTCACCCTTTAAACACCATTTCCCACAAGTGGGCTCTGTTTCCCAGGTCAAAGAGCAAGAACAATAAACATCCACATTCCATTTCTAGAAAACGGGAAGAACTAGGTATGGTGTTCTTCGCTTTCCTCTCTAAAAGGCTTTTGGCAGCTCATCCCAAGTCTAAAGGCTGCCTTCCTTCTAAATTGGTAGTCTGGCAGCCTCATTCAAAATGTGGATCCTCGAAAACTTGGGTTGGGAGGGCCCGACTTGGCCTTGAGATTTGTGCTATGGCCTTTGTTAAGGGTGTGGTCATGGGAGTTTTTTGACAGCAGACTGAATCTTGGCTCAGTGGATCTTATTCCATTTAAGAAATTGATTAGTTTAAGCTCCCAAAGAGTTGAGTTCAAGGTGTTCTGCATACGGAACATCATGAGCTGCGATTAAGGTGATGGAAGGGTGGAAAGCACACAGACATTTGGATTCGTATACCTTCCCTGTGTCCGGCCAGTTGCATGACCTTGGCAAATCACTTAACCTCTCTGAGCACCTTTTCTTCAGCTCACCTCTTGTGGGGGCAAGAGGATTAAGTGAGGTACCATGAAAGCTCTTAGTTTAATTCCTGGCATCCAGGAGGTGCTCAGGTAATTTCTTTCCCTTTCTACCTCCCTGCACTAGGGAGGTTGAAGTTTCCCAATCTGTGAGTAAATATACATTTAAGATCTATTAAACTGAGATTTCCTGAGGCCAGGGAAAGAGAATAAAGTCAGACAGAGGTCCTTCACTGGAGAAGAATATCTATTGTTCCATTTAGTAAGGCTTTATTTAAATTATGTGGTTTTAATTGGGGTACTGGCATTAATTTAGGGTTCCTAGCTCAGAATCTTAGACTGGGTCATTGAATTGGCTTAAAAAAGGACTACAGGGTGTTAGAGGGGTACATAAATTATTGTGAATATATTTGTTAGGATTCTTCATGTGTGCTGGGAACTAAACCACAATCGTCCTAAAAATAAACAGACTCCATTAACTATTAGTTAGGAAGGACCGGCCCCCCAGCTCTGAGTGCGCCATGGGGTCTCATTTCTCCCCTTCATGCCGGCAGGCTCCCCCTGACGTCCTCCTTCACCAGCATCTCCAGACTGCCCGTCAGGGTCACAGAATGACAGTAGCATTTGCAGCTCTCTCAGACTCTTAAACACCATCGGGGGGCGGGGGGGAGGAGAGGCCATTTCTTCTATAGATGCTGGAAAAGAGAAAGAAAGCCTTGCTTTCTCAGAGGTCTCACAGCATGTCACCTGACGCTCACTGGCTCCAGCTGGTGGCTGTGCTCACCTCTGAAGCATCCCCTGTCATTGGGGGACAGATGCCCTGATCGACTGAAACCTGTCAAGGCTTGTCCCTGGATCAGGGATGAAGTTAATCTTAAACAAACCACGTGGCTAAAAATGGAAGATGAATGGATTCCCATGGGGACATTTGGGGTTCTTGTTTCCGAAGGAGGGGGAAAGTTTGTAAGCAGCCAACCAAGCGATCTGCTTCAGCAGTTTAGATTTTGAGTTGTGAATTAGTAAAGCCTTTTGTCACGGTTCTAGGGATCATCCATGTATCATGTGGACTGGAGGCTGCAGGAGAATCCCAGTTCTGGTGTTCCACGCTGAGGCGATTCTGACAAAGGACAGCAATATTCGAGTGATTGGAGGTGAGTATGACCTTCCCTCACAGAAGGCAGGACTGGGGCGTGGCCCTGGCCACCTTGTCTTGCAGAAACTGTGAACACCTGTGTGTAGGGAAATGGCCTTGGCCATGAGAAGACTGTACTGGTTTGTTATACTTGAAAGGCTTATTTATGATTTCTTGAGTTTTTTGCTTATTGACATTTTTTTCCTTTTTGAATTTTTTCAGAATGATGTATACGTATGCTTATTGTTACTTTATTGTGGTAAAACATACAAAACAAAATTTACCATCGTAACCATTTCATTGGCATCTAGTACATTCACAGTGTTGTGCAGCCGTCACCACTGTCGGCTCCAGAACATTTTTATCGTCCCAAAGGTGAGCTCATGTACCCATTAAGCACTCACTGCGCAGCCCCTGGCAGCCCCTAATCTACTTTCTGTCTGTAGGGATTTGCCGGTTCTGGACATTTTATAGAAATGGACTTAGACGATACATGGCTTTTGGTGTCTGGCTTCTTTCACTTAGCACAGTGTTTGAAGGTTCATCCACGTTGCAGTATCAGGACTCTCCTCCTCTGAGTGGTTGGGTGATGTCCCAGGTGAGCATGCGCCGCATCTGTGTATCCATTTGTCCACTAATGGGAGCTCGTTTCTCCTTTCTGGCTACTGTACTATAAATACTGTTTCTATGGACATTCACGTACAAGTTTTTGTTTAAACATCAGTTTTCAGTTCTTTTGCGTATATGCGTAGGAATGGAATTGTTAGATTGTGTGGTAATTCTCTGTTTAACTTATTAAGGAACTGCCAAAGTGTTTTCCACAGTGATTGTATCATTTTCCATTTCTGTCAACAATGTATGACAGTTCTAATTTCTCCACATTCTCACTAACATTTATTTCCTGTTTTTTAGATTATAGCTATGCAACAGGGTATGAGGTAGTATCTTATTGTGGTTTTGATTTGCATTTCCCTGATGACTTATGACACTGAACATCTCTTCATGTACTTGTCGGCCATTTGTATATCGTCCTTACAGAAGTGTCTAGTGAAGATCTTTGCCTATTTTTAATTGGGTTGCTTGTTTTTTTCTTGTTGAGTTACAAGAATTCTTTGTAACTTTTGGATATTAGACCCTTATTAAACATGATTTACAAATATTCTTCCCTGTTCAGTGGTTTGTATTTTCACTCTCTCAATGGTGTTTTCTCATGAGCTAATGGTTTTCATTTTGTTGATGTCTAATTTATCTATTTTTTCTATTTTTGCTTATGCTTTTGCTGTCATATTTAAGAAATTGCCTAACCGAAGGTCATGATCTTTATGCTTTCTTTGATGAGTTTTATAGTTTAAGCTCTTACATGTGGAGATAAATGGCTTTTGATCCATTTCTAGTTAATTTTTTAACGTAGTGTATGGCAAGGGTCTATCTTCATTGATTCGAATGTGTATATCATTCTTTCAGCATAATTAGTTGAAGAGACTCTTATTTTTTTATCAAATACTCTGAGCACTATCGAAAATCAGTTGGTTATAAGTATATGGGTTTATTTATGGATTCTTTTTTAAAAAAAGATTTTGTGTATTTATTTTTAGAGAGAGGGTAAGGGAGGGAGAAAGAGAGGCAGAGAAACCTCAGTGAGTGGTTGCCTCTCATGCACCCTCAACTGGGGACCTGGCCTGCAACCCAGGCATGTGCCCTAGACTGGGAATCGAACCAGCGACCCTTTGGAGGGTTGATACTCAATCCACTGGGTCACACCAGTCAGGGCTATTTATGGACTCGTAATATTCTACTGATTTTGTATATTGGTTTTACATCCTGAAACCTTGCTGAACTCATTTATTAGCTCTAATAGTTTTTTTTGTGGGTGGGGGGAGGGTTCTTTTGGATTGTCTATATACAAGATCATATCATCTGCAAATAGAGGTAATTTTACTTCTTTATAATGTGAATGCCTTTTGTTTCTTTTCCTTGCCTAATTGCTCTGACTTGAACTTTCAGTACAGAGTTGAGCAGAAGAGGCGAAAGGTGGGCATCTTTGTCTTGTTTTTGATCTTCCTGGGAAAGCTTTACAGTCTTTCACTGTTTAGTGTGATGTTAGCTCTGTGTTTTCAAAATGCCCTTTATGATGTTGAGGAAGTCCCTTTCTAGTTTTTTGTTAAGTGTATTTTATTATGCAGGGGTGTTGGATTTTGTAAAATACTTTTTCTACATTATTTAAGACAATTCAGTTTTGTTTCCTTCATTCTCTTAATGTGGTGTATTACACTGATTAACTTATTTAAAAAGTTGTATTTTGTTTATGCTATTAACAGTTCTCCCAGTTTTGTTCCCCTTGCCCCCCTCCACCCAGTCCCCCTCCATTGACAACCCCTGAGACAATCCCCACACGTCGTCCATGGGTCATGCCTACATGTTCTTTGGTTACTGTGTTCCCTATGCTGTACTCTACATCCCCATGACTGTTCTGTAATTACCAATTTGTTCTTCCTAATTCCTTCACCTTTCTCTCCCGTTCCCTTGACCCTCCTCCCATCTGGCTACCATCGGAATGTTTTCTGTATCTATGACTCTGTTTCTGTTCTGATTGTTTATTTTTTTAGATTCGATTAATGATAGATATGTATTTATTGCCATTTTATTGTTCGTAATTTTGATCTTCTTCTTAAAGAAAACCCTTTAACATTTCATATCATACTAGTTTGGGGGTGATGAACTCCATTAGCTTTTTCTTGTCTGGGAAGCTCTTTATTTATCCTTTGCTTCTAAATGATAGCTTTTCTGGATAGAACAATTTTGGTTGTAGGTCCCTGCTTTTTATCACTTTGAATATTTCTTGCTAATCCCTTCTAACCTACAAAGTTTATTTTGAGAACCAGCTGACAGTCTTATATGAGCCCCCTTGTAGGTAACTAGCTGCTTTTCTCCTGCTGCTTTTAAGATTCTCTTTGTATTTAACCTTTGACATTTTAATTACAATGTGTCTTGGTGTGGGCCTCTTTGGGTTCATCTTTTTGGGGACTCTCTGCGCTTCCTGGACTTGTATATCTATTTCCTTTACCAAGTTAAGAAAGTTTGCTGTCATTTTTTCAACTAGGTTTCCAATTTTATTCTCGTTCTTCTCCTTCTGGCATACCTATTATGTGAATGTTGGAATGCTTGAAGTTGTCAGAGAGGCTGCGTATACTATCCTCATTTTTTAAAATTCTTTTTTCTTCTTGCTATTCTGATTGGTTGTTTTTGCTTCCTTATATTTTAAATAACTGATTTGATTCTCCACTTCATCCACTCTACTGTTGATTCCCTAGAATTAGTTGTGTACCTCTTTGGAAGAGTTTAAGAAGGAGTGGTGTTAATTCTTTAAATGTTTGATAAAATTCACCCATAAATCCATCTTTTTTTAAAAATCCTCATCCGAGGGCATGATTATTGATTTTATAGAGAGGGAAAGGGAGGGAGAGAGAGATGGAGAGAAACATCGATCGGTTATGGAACCTGCAGTCTGGGTATGTGCTCCAACCAGGAAATGAACTTGAGACCTTTTGGTTTACCTCACGATACTCTAACCAACTAAGCCACGCCAATCAGGGCCCATGAAGCCATCATAACTCATTTTATTGCTGGTAAAATTAGGATCTGCTGTACTTTGAACTTACTTTAAGGTCTGTCCTGGCTCTATAATAAGCCAGGAGTTTAGAAGATGGGGAGCACCTGCTTCTGAGATGTGACTCTTCCTCTCTCCTTAGGGCTCCTTGTGTTCTAATCTCCTCAGCAAGTTGCCAGGTTACCACTTAAAGGAACATGGTTCATTTGTAGTCTCTGAATCCTGAGCAACTAAAGATTTGCTAATATTTGCTAAGAAACTCCTTCAAAATATGACTTGAGTCAAAACATCAAGTGTGGATTTGAAGACAACAGAAGTAAATAATTCCCCCAAGACATATTTCTGTGTGCGTGCTTGCACATAAATTCATCTGCATGTTTCATGGCAACAGGCAGACCTTTCCTTTTCAGAATCCCTAACATCTTTGGAAATTAGCACCTGTCAATGTAAGTCTCCATCATTCAAGTGATCACTATTTTCTGGCACCTGTAAGCCTTCGGGTCTTTTTTTTTTACACATTCCCGTGATTAAAGAAAAAGCCACTAAACTTTTCTCTCAAACTCTATTTTTGAATTTTCTGTGTCCTTGCAATTCCTTGAGGTTGAATAATATTTTCATCTTCCATATGCTAAGAACAATTTGAATGACTTTTGCTAGTTGCTGCCTCCGATTTCGGAATTGTTAAACACTCTTGGTGTTTTTTTTCTTTTTGCTCTCTTAAATAGCTGACATAGATCTGCCGAGACCATAATCCCGAGGTTAAATCCTCTTGAGAAGTGTAACTGGGGCATCGGTTATCTTCTGTTAGATGCCGGCCTTGTTTTTTCTGTTCCCTGCTTCATACTTCATTGCATTCACTGTCAGTGTTTTTGGTACAGTGTGATTTAATGTGCTTTGTTAAAGGTTCCAGGAATATATGCTTTTTCCTCACTATATCCTTTTTTATTTCAAAACTGTATATACTTTGAACATGTAAATGGGATTTCACTTCAGAGGCAACAGATATTTTCAGTTGAAAGTAACCTGTTTTTTCAAGATTTTATTTATTTGTATTTTAGAGGGAGGGGAGAGAGAAAAAGAGGAAGAGAAACATCAGGTTACCTCTTATGTGCCCCTCCACTGGGGACCTGGCCAACAACCGAGGCATGTGCCCTGACAAGGAATCGAACCAGTGACCCTTTGGTTCTCAGGCCAGTACTCAGTCCACTGAGCCATGCCAGCCAGGGCTAAAGTAACTTTTTTTAGAATCAATTATCATTTTATAATTTGCTTTTGAATGTGTCAGTTTCATAAGTTTGCATTTGTATGGACTAGCACCCAATAGAAATATATTGTAAGCTACATATGTAAATTTCCCAGTGGCTTCATTTAAAAAGTAAACAGAAGTAGTTTATTTTAATAATATATTTTATTTAATCTAAAATATCGTTTCCACATTTACTCAATATAAAAAAGTCACCGAGATGTTACACGCAGTGTGTACTTCACGTTTACAGCACATCTCAGGATGGTACGTAATTTTCCTTGGGAGACTGGACTTGATCTGTGTTTAGGTTCCATAAATGTTTTAGTTAAAAAATAAATTTATGTGCTCAGGTTAGTCTAAACAAGTTTTCCAATGACTGAATTGAGTATCAGTATTTAAATTTAAATTAATTAGAGTTAAATAAAATTGAAAGGTCGGTTACTCTCTCACACTAGTCGGGTGCCCCTTAGCTACAAGGGCAGGCGTGCTTTTCCGACAGTAGGGCAGGCTGCACGGTGTTGCCCTCGACGGGGTTATTCTCGTTCTAAAAGTCAAAAACGTCAGCTTTTCGTCCATGTGAGAGAGAAACGTCGATTGGCCACCTCTCAGAGGCGCTCCCTGAACCCACAACCCACGCATGTGCCCTGACCAGGGGTCGAACTGGTGACCCTCTGCTTTGCAGGACGAGGCCTGACCTACTGAGCCACACCGGTCAGAGCAAAAGCACTTCAGTTTTACTTTCATTCTAATTTCCCTTGCTAGTTTTGACCAACCCCCTTGGGGCGCTTCACCATTCCCTGGGTGCCTCTGTGTCGACAGATTGTCGGTTTCTTGTTTTCACTTGCTCTGCCCCAGTCAGTCCTGGAACTCGCCAGGGGTCCCAGCACTTCCCATTGTCTCCCGAGATACATGTAAGTGGTTGGAGGAGAGGAAAATTGTGCAGGCTCACAGTGGAATTGATGCAACGTGCATTCAAAGGCTCCAGTATGTTTGGAGTTTGCTAGTAGTCAAGGAGGACCATGCCCTGCGTCTTGCCTTTATATTGAAGAAAACATGGGCAAAGTGGCTCTTTTTTACGTGGTTGGGCAGGTTCAGTTTATACCTGCAAGTCTGTTTGACTTGCCAGGGAAGAGAGAGCCTAGAGTTGCCAGGTTTTTCGAGAGAAGTCCAGAAATCTAGATGGTTATATTGTTCCAATTTTAAAAGATTGGAAACGAATTCAATTGTACATTTAAAACACCACACAGAATGAACAAACCATGTCCTTAGGCTGGACTTGGCCTGTGAGTCACCGGTTTATAGTGTCTGCTCACACACATACTGGCTGGTAGTAAGTGTTACTGGTCACAGGACTTGGACACAGGGCATGAGTTTGAATCGCAGTCACCAGCAGTCAGATGGCTCTGTATCATTCCCCTGCCTTTCTTGCGCTCCCCTTTTGGAACATGTTCTGTGCATCCGAGCTGGGTTGCACTTAGTAGGTGTGGATTGAAAGGATTGGTCATTGCTGCTGAAACTGACATACCATGAGAAGCAGGCCTGCGGCTAAGTGCCGCGATAATGACGTTTTTCTTCTGTATTAGGAGAAGTAGGACAAGGAATATTAACAGCATTTTAATTTTTTATTGGCTATCTAAAATGTATAATTGACTTTGATACTATGTACTAATAGCTATTTTACTATGTATCTTTTTTATTATACAACAATTTTATTATGTATCAACTATTTTAAAAGCTTCTCTGGTATTAACTGATTCAGTGAATGCATATAAAAATACTTACTCTATGAGGTAAGTATCTTTGTTATCAACTCCGTTTTAAAGGTGAGGAAATTGTGCGTAGGAAAATGAAGGAACGTATTCAAGATGACAGCCAGGAGGTAGGAGGGCCAGGATGTTAACCCTGACAGCTGGGTTCCGGACACATAGTCTTTCTCTTATTACCCCCACCTCCCCCGGTCCCCATGTAACCATTCTGTATATTCCCCGCACACTCTACTGATCACCTGCCCTGTGGCCTGGTTCTGCCCGGCAAGCGCTGCAGGGCAGGCACAGAATCCGGGCAGTGCTGGCCCCCAGCAATTGATGTTTTGGCTTTTTGCGAGAACGCAAATGGAGATGTTGTGATCACAGTTATCATAATGAAAAGGCCTAATATTCTTTCATTTGTCTAAGTTTAAGAATAATACAATGAACCCATGTATACTCTTTCTATAGTTTCACCACTTATTAACATTTTGTTGTATTTGCTGGTTTCTCTCCCTCTTCCCCACATTTGAGAATTAGTTCAAATGTTTCATATCTCCTAAGAACTAAGGTAATACACAGTCCTTTTAAAAAATTGCTCTGTAGAATTCTTAGCTAATGTTTTCAAGCTATCTGCAGTGATGCATACAAAGAAATTGAATTTAATGGGCCAGAGTGTTAGTCCTTGGGGATATGTGGAAATCGCACAGGATTGCAGACTGTCCTCTTAGGCACAAGCACAGAATGCTTGCAGGTGCCAGGCAGGAAACAAGGATGAGTGATGCAGGCTGGCGGGGCTCTGCCGACCTGGATGGCATGGAAGTACTTGCACTTCTTCAGGTTGACTCTTGCCATACCAGAGAGAGAGAGTGAGCGAGTGTGAGACCAGGGTTTTCAAGAGAAGCCCAGAAATCTAGATTTTTTTAAATGCGAATTCCACCAATTTCAAAAGGGCAGCAATTAATTCAGTTTTATTTTTAAAGTTTAATGAGGAAGGAGCAAACCAGGTCTGCAGGCAGGTTTGGGTCCTCAGGTCACCAGTTTGTAACTTCTGGCCTGAGATACACTGGTCACCAGACTTGCTGCACACAGAGCACTGGCTGGAGTGGGGTTCTGACCTGTCCTGATGAGTCTCTTTTCAGAATTTTTAAAAAATATTTTATTTATTTATTTTAAAGAGAGGGGAAGGTAGGGAGAAAGAGAGGGAGAGGAACATAGTCGTTTGAGAGAAATGTCAATTGGTTGCCTCTTGCACGTGCCCCAGCCGGGGACCAGGCCTGCAACCCAGGCCTGTACCCTGACCTGGAAGTGAACCAGTAACCTTTCACTTTATGGGACAACATCCAACCAACACTGAGCCATGCCAGCCAGGGCTCAGAATGCTTTCTAAGTGTATTCAAAAAATTACATATCACTACAAAGAAAATCCATTGTGTCAACATATTATAAAAATATTTTTAAAAACTCAAATTGAGCCCTGGATGGTGTAGCTCAGTGGATTGAGCACAGGCCTGCAAATCAAACAACCATGGTTCAATTCCCAGTCAGGGCACATGCCTGGGTTGCAGGCCAGTTCCCAGCAGGGGACGCATGAGAGGCAACCGTACATTGATTAAAAAAAAACAACCCTTGAATTGTGATGTGTATGCTTTTTTTATTTGTGCAATAAATAATGATCTAATGGTAGGTCTGTTCACTTCCATAATTTTTAAGTACCACGAGGATAAGAGATATTTTGAGATAACTGTAACAACTATAAAATAACATTAAAATACCCGACTTCTACTGGCGGCAGGGTCACAGGTGCTCCTAATAATACTCTGATTTTTTGCCTCCATCCCTAATTGAAGGTAATGTTAGGTGTCAACCAGAAACAAGTAAAAACAGAGATGGCATTGCCCTCCCCTCATACATATTTAGTAACCCCAACAAATTGCAGGTTAAGAACCCTAGGTCCCAAATAGTCTGTGCCCTTTACTGTTAGTAGCGTAAAGATAGCGGTGTAGTTCTTCAGTATACTTAAGCAAGCTGTCCTCTTACAGTTCATTTCTGTCTCTACAGCTGACTCTCTGGGTACTGAACTCGATTCTGTTTTTCTGCAGAACGTTACCATTTGTCTTACAAGATTGTGCGAACAGACAGTCGCCTCGTACGCAGCATTCTGACAGCCCACGGATTTCATGAAGTAAGCTCATTTCGACGACGTCCCCTGATCTGTCCAAAAGCCGAAAATTCTAGCCACCTGACTCTAAGTTTGTACCGCCAGCTCCAGAAAGCACACGGGACCAGTGCTTAGTGCAGAGTTTCTGAGTGGATTTTCCACTCTCTTTTTGCAATACATAGAAAACATTTCCACAGTTAAAAACGTTTTTTCTTGCTATGCTTTTAGGCTTAGGCTAGAGGCAAAATTGCCTGTAAGGAATTGTTACCCAGTTAAATTTCTTTGATTACAAACAACAGAAACAGACTCTAACGTAAGCCAAAGGGGATTTGTAGAAGCATACACTGGATGGCTAGCGGAATCAGAGGAAAAACTGAAAAGGCAGCCCATGGAAGGAGAGAGACAGGACAGCTCCAGGGGTCTGGGATAAGAATCTACAGGACCACCTCTTGTAGGCACTCCCCGGAGGTGACTCTACTCCATTCATTGTCCTTGTGTCTTTCGTCATTCAGGAACACTCTGGGGATAGAGTGACTGGTCCAGCTTGGGTCATGGATTCACTCTATTGGGGAAGAGAGGGACAAGTGATTGGCAGGTCCTTTAAAACCAGAGTATGTTATTTCCAAAGAAAATTTGAATATTGATATCAAAAGAGATGGTAACAAGGCTGAACAGACTCACTGCAGGTATTTTGAGACCGTTGCCAGAGGTCTGGTTGCTAGTTCCTTGTCCAAGGTTGAGTTCAGAAGTAGACACTTTGAAGTTCTGAATACCAGGTTATATCTTGTTGCTGTTTTATCTTCAGGTTTCAGTGTGGCACCTATCACATCGTAGGCAAAGAATACATAATTGTTAAAAGAATGGACAAATGAATTCTTACAAATGAATGAATGAATGAACGAATGAATGAATTCTGAGTTGGTTTGCTGCTACAAGTTTTTACTTCTGATCAGTAGTTTACACCTGGCATCTGTAAGCCTCTGAGAAGGGAGTTCTGGGGTTGGGCCCTCTTCTTACACACTGACGTGCAAGAATATTAAGAGGCGTTGTGGACTTCCTTAGAAGGATTAATTTGTTCTAATTTTTGTGTCTGAGACTCACCCCACTCTTCCATTCTTTAAATAAACTTGATTATCCCCATGTTGTGTGTGCTCCACCTCTGTCGTGCGAGGCACACATAGTGACTGGGCCACTCCTGCGAGTACTTTGTGGACAGTCAAAGGCTTTTCATCCAGGGTTCTTCCTGGAGAGCAGTTATCTCGGACGGCTTTTATCTTGTCTGTGTGTGTGCCCCCAGGTTCACCCAAGCAGCACTGACTATAACCTCATGTGGACAGGATCCCACCTGAAGCCCTTCTTGCTTCGCACCCTCTCTGAAGTGCAAAAGGTTAATCACTTTCCCAGGTAATGCTCTTGCTCCACTTAAGGTACCTGACATTATCATAGACTTAAATGTGAACCCTAAAATCACACAACTTCTAGAAGAAAACATAGGGGAAAATCTTGATGACCTTGGATTAGGTAAAGATTTCTGAGATATAACAATATGAGTATAATCCATAAGAGAAAAAAATGACTGGACTTCATCAAAATTTAAAATGTCTCTGACTAGCCAGAGACTGGGAGAAAATACCTGTAAAACATGTGTCTGTTAAATAAAGACTTTATGTCTAGAATATATAATAAACTGTTAGAACTCAATAATGAACAACCTTCTTTTTCAAAATGGGCAGAATATTTGGACAGATACTTTACCACTGAGGCTACACAGGTGTGAGAAGATGCACATGAAAATATGTTCAGTGTCAGCAGCCATCAGTGGGATGCAGATTAAAACCACATGAGACTCTGCCATACACTAGCGCATCGGAGTGGCTGAGGACAGAAAGACTGGGCGTGCCCAGTGCTTGGGGTGCAGCACGACTGGACCGCTGACATGCTGGTGGGAAGTGCCAGGTGGTGCAGCCACTTCGCATAACCATTTGGCGGTTTCTCACGAGATTAAACACATACTGATATGGTAGTTATAAATGTGTCCACGAGTTCTTTGACATTGCCTTCAGAAGACTGAGCTCGATTACTCTGGTTTTGAATGTGGGCTAGACTTAGTGACTGTCTTCTAAGGAATAGGATGTGGCCAAAGTCACACTGTGTCCCTTCTGGGACCAGATCATAAAAGATGTGGTAGCTGCTTTTTTGCTGTTTCTTGGCTCACTTGATCTGGGCAAAATCAGTTGTCATGTCAAGAAGGCATTCGGTTAGCTGCACGGAGAGATTCACGTGGAGAGAACCAAGGCTTCCTGCCAATAGCCAGCCCCTGACCAGTGAGCTGTCTGGAGAGGAGGTTCCCCAGCCCCAGGCAGGCCCGACGACTGCAGGCCTGGCCAGCTCCTTGCCTGTAGCCCCATGAGGGACCCCCAAGACAGACCTGCCTCACTCTGCCACTCCCGCATTTCTGACTCACAGAAACCGTGGGAGACAGAAAATGTTTATTTTTCTTTAGCTGCTGTGTTTGGGGGTAATTTATTAGGCAGTAGTAGATAATGAATACTGTTTGCTAAACAGTCTTGGTAAACCTGGCAATCCCACTTCTAGAGACGTGAAAATGTATGTTCACACAAAACCTTATAAAAACTTATGTTCATAAAAACCTGTACACAGATGCTTATAGTGACTTTATTCATAATCTTCAAAGGCTGGAACAGCTCACATGTCCGTCAGTGGGCGAGCGGGTAAACAAACTGCGGTGCACCCAAACAGTGGGTTACTGCTGAGCCCTAATAAAGAACGAAATACCGATACTTACAACCACAAGCCAAAGTTTCAGTTGTGTGTTAGGTTCAGTGAAAGAAGCCAGTCTCAGAAGGATACATACCATATAATTCCCTTTATTTGACTTTCTGGAAAAGGCAAAATTACAGGGATAGAAAAGAGGTGGACGTTTGCCAGGGCCTGGCGGTGGCGGGAAGGGTGGACTGCAAGGGGCCCGAGGCAGCTTTGTGGGGTGTTGGGACTGTTCTGTCTCCTGGTTGGGGTGGTGGTCACATAACTGTACGTGTTCATTCAAACTCATAGAATTATACATATATTATACCTTAATGAATAAATACGACCAAAGAAATTTATTTCATGAAAATGACTGATGAATCTTCAGGGTTGACACAAGGGTAGATTGGGGGGTCTGCTCCTGTCCTCAGTAGCGGCTCCAGAACCGTGAACTGTGCACTCGTTGGAATGTGGGAACATTGGGAACCCCGGAGTCAGCCTTTACTGAAATGGAAATGCTGTTACGATTTTAAGGTCATATGAACTAACCCGGAAGGACCGACTGTACAAAAACATCGTTCGAATGCAGCATACGCATGGATTTAAGACTTTTCACATTCTCCCTCAGACCTTCCTGCTGCCAGCTGAGTACGCGGACTTCTGCAGTAAGTTTGACTCATTGTGTCCGTCCGCAGCCACGGAACGAGGGGCCGACGTACCTCAAGGGCTGCTTCAAGTCGGTAACCAATCGTGGTTTCTCAAGTCCTTAAAAATGCTGTGTGTCTTTAGTAAAACAGCTGCAGAGATAACTTTAAAGCTGTTTTTATTCCAACTGCCTACCTGTATGTTTATTCTTAGTACCATTTATGTAAGGACACAATGGTGTCATAAATGTGCTCTTTTCTCGTGCAACAGTCTTCTTCATTGGCAAGAGTTAGTGCACATGTTAGGACGTATGTATTTGTGCATATAAACTACACGTGCACCCTTTTTTGATGCCTCTCTCGTCACCTTGATTTCTGGACTCCTGTGACTTATATTTTGGGGGTAAAGTATCGTGGATCTTTTGGTGTTTGGAGGTATCATTCAGTCTCACTGATTTTCCTTGGAGTTCAAACTAATGGAAAAGATATACAAGGGAGCCAAACAGGGATCCAGATGTCAGCCGGATTGTTGGTAAAGCTAGCGAGGGACACGTGGCCTGCGTCCCGGTGTTGGTGGGCTTCGTATTTCTTTTGCCTTGAAGTGAACTTACCTCTGAGGGTCTAAGCGGAGGAGCTGGGCTGTTTCAGGCTTCCCTTCATGGGGCAGAGCCCGACTCAGCAGGCTCAGTGTGCAGATAAGGCGTGAGGCAGGGCTTCTGTGAGAGTTTAAATAGTAATGACACCAACAGCTGGCACTTAATGAGCGTTTCCTTTCTATGAGGCCCTCTTGTAAGTGTTGCCGCCACTCCGAGGTAGGTACTAGTGTTATTCCCACTTTTACAGGTCAAGAGACTTAAGGTGCAGAGAGGTGAGGGAACTTTCCATAAGTGGGGCAGCTTGCAGACAGCAGGGTCAGGATTCAGCCCAGGCGCTCGGCGTCAGAGGCCGCGCTCAGCACCGCTGCGTTTTCTGGCTGAAGGTGCCAGGCCGGGCGTGCTCAGTGACTGCTCCTCACTATGCGGGGAGAGGAGTCGTGTCTGCGAGAAGAGTCTGAGACGACACAGAGAGGAACGTGGAGCGAGGAAGGGAACCCCTCTCTAGACTTCGGGCTTTTGATACTTTTAACCAGTTGGACTTAAGAATCAGGGCCGGTCGCCCTGTGGAGTGCTCGTCTTCTGGACGCTGGGCCTCAGGGTCTGCCTCGGTGGGGGCGTTTCACTCCTGGCACGTGGCCTGCCCTGGGAGCACAGGTTGACGGTTCCGTGTGTGCCCACAGAGGACTCTGAAGGGGGTCAGAATCAAGTATCAAATTAGATGAATGAAGTTAACCTCAAAGCTACAGTGCACTCAAAGTTGAAAATTTCAGTTAAGAATTTTCGTTGTGTGACTTGAGCCAATGTAATAACTCTCTGTACTTTAACTTTCTCCTCTGTAAAAAGAGACTGTTACCAATACTGACCTTACAGTGTTGTTGGGAAGTTTAAGTAGGTTGTACATGCAAGGCACTTGTAATGGTGCTTTATAGGTGCTTAATAAGTGTTCAATATTATTGCCTATTTCAAGTTATGTTGCGCTATAGCACTGCATCATGCAAGTTAAAAATTACGTCATAAACCAACATGATAGCATAAAAATGCTTCAGCGAACATGGCGGCGTTGTGAAAGGGCGCCCAATAGAAACTCCTCCTGTTGTTGGTTCCCGATGAGAAATGAAGTCCAGAATAATTCCCCGTGAAAGACGAAAGGGATCTAAGTTGCAAATTCCTTTTCCCCGCTTTGCTGTTGCTGATTCTGCTGTTCGGAGTTCCCCAGCCTCGGGAGGCAGGTGGTGGGCTGGGGAAGCTCATCCTTAACAATTATTCACACTTTTACATGTTCTTAACTAAAATGAATCCCAAAGGTCAAAGTACACAGAGAATAGCTCAGCTGCAGCCCAAAGCCGCCACATTTAGCATCGGGGCAGTTCTTACAGGCAAAGGGTGTTAGTCCCCAAAACAAATCCCTCACTGCCATGGCCACCCAGAGATCCCAGCAGAGACTGACCGTGTGTGTGGGAGCAGGAGGACGCGGAAGGTGTGGTGGTAGCAGGGTCTCCTTGGTTTCAGTCTCGCCGGAATCCCAGTCCCTCTTTGCCCGTCATCCAGAGTGTGTGTGGCCTCTCAACTCAAAGCCACTGGGGAGAAGCCCAGCATCGTTAGGTTCGTTGTGTTGTATTTATGTGTTAGGAGAAACCCATCTATTCCTACCACTTTCTCTTTCAAAGAGGCATTCCCCTTCTTTGGAAGGTCTGTTTTAAGTTTTCTTTTTTCCCCATTGTGTCCACCTCGTATATTGTACCTTGCAGTTTTGTTCTCTCCATGACTCTGTGTGTCTGTCTGACCCTCCCAGCGCTGGCTCGAGTGTGCATAGGAGGAGGTTTCTGAGAAGGAGAGGGAGGTGAACAGGCTGGTCTTCACAAAAACAGCTGCAGAAAACGACTGGAGGGAGCAGGGGCAAGCCACACAGCGGTCCCTCTGGAGGCTCTTGAGTAGTGCAGACGAGAAGTGTAGGTGGATTGGACTAGGTAGCCAGCGTGGAAAGATGATAGAGTGAATAAGGTTACCAACTGGCTGCGAGCAGTGAAGCAGGGGTTGAAGGTATCTCCAAAGGTGTGGGTCTAAGAAGCTAGGAAGATCCAGCCACTATCCAGAGAGCGTAACCAGGAAGGACCACAAGGAATGTTAAAGGGGAAGATTGTTGAACTTTGGACCGGGTTTCGATTCGAGGTGCCTACAGAGATCTGCGTCCTCATGTTCAGCAGGCAGTGGTAAAAGTTGGATTTTGTTCATCCTCTCATTCAAGAGGGGAAATGGTGAAAAAATATATTATGTAGTATTTGCTGTAATTTTGTTGTCTTCTCCTTGTCTCTTTCTCCTCCTCCCTCTTTTTTTCTCTTTCCCCTCCTTCCTCTTTTTTTCTCTTTCCCTCCTCCTTTCTCCCACCCTCACTGCCCCTCTCTTTTGGTTTTTGTATCTGTTCTTGTTTAATTTTTAAGACTAGTCCAAAAGTATATGTTATTTTAGCTGCTGCCCACCACTTAGAAATTGGGAAAATTCTTTGGGTACCTGAGTAGATAACCATTGTTGAAATTTAATTGGATAAACTCATGTTCCTTTCTTTCTCTTTGTTTCTCTCTCCTACTTTCTGTCTCCCAATATTTTGAGCAGATTCATACTCAAAGGATCGGGGACCTTGGATAGTAAAACCAGTGGCCTCCTCTAGGGGGCGGGGTGTCTACCTGATCAACAATGTAAGTATCCATCACAGCCTCTCTCCTTTCTGCTCTTCCCTTTCACCCTGTGTTCTAGCTACGAGTATGGTTCCTTCTCATTAAGAGCAGGTGTTCCCTTCCGAAATCTGCATTCAGAATTGAATTGAGGGTAGATCTAGATTGTCTGTCACTGTAATGTCACTTCCATAACAGTTACTCTGGCTGAAAAGTGGCTTGAGCCAATTTTTGGGGGGAGGGCAACCTTTGGTGTCAGCAGAACAGAGGTCTCTTTTCCACTTTCAGCATAATGTCGTCTTAATTCCTCAGCATAAGCATTAATTAATAGCACAGACATTTAGTTTTCATTGTGAGCAGGGCTGTGGGATCCTGCCCTCAAGGCCGTCAAGGAAAGTAACCCAGTTCCGTCTGGGGCCTTGTTGTACTTTTCTCCCTTTCTCCCTCCCAACATCCTCCTCTTCTTCCTCCTCTTCCTCTTCTTCCCCCCATTCTTCCTCCTCTTCCTATTCCTCATCTTCCTCATCTTCCTCTTCCTCCTGTTTTCTTTCAGAAGTCATCAGTATCTTAATTCTTTGCAAAAGCCTTGTTAAAAGTTGTTCTTAATAAAAAACATACATGGAATAAATAAAAAATTCTAACTGCAGTCTCATTCCCTAGACTTAGATTAGTAGTTACTAACCTAATATAATTGAATTATGTTTCTTCTTTTCTCAACTCTGCATCGTACTTGTTAATTCCCAGTTTGATATTTATTGTACTGATACCATATCCTCCCCTCCCTTCCACCTTGTACCTCTAGGTTGGATTACTTTTTATTGTTTCTATATCTTAAAGATTTTTAAACATTTATATTCTTTTAATAACTGTGATTCAGTTTCTCTGCTTTATGTAAAGTTGAGTAAGAAACTTGATAGAAACTTGACTGCATGGAATTTTGAAATTTAACCAAAATTTCAGTCTGGGTTCTTTAAAAAAATTCTTTCTTTGGTCAGTCATTTTCAGGTAGAAACTAATATGATTCCTTAGTTCAGGGAAAAATGTCCTTTTTTCAGTTTTTGTTTCTGCAACTCCTTTGCCAGGCAGTCTGGGTTATCATGTCAGCCTTCCTCTCACGTGAAACTCTGTCTTCCCACTGCCCGCCTTTGTCCTCTGGGCCTCCTGCCCGAGCTCCGCCCACTCGTGTGTCCTGTTTACTGCGGTTCTCTAGGGGCTGTCCTCGTCTGCAGAAGCTCCGACTCTCTGATGTGCTTTCTTGTTGCTCAACGGGTGCAGTTGGCCCGTTGGTCTTGCTGAAGATACCAGTTGACAATTTATAAAAGTTCTCCTCTGTTTGGTGAATTTTCTTGGGGGTCGTCTTTTCTTTCTATTGGGTTTTCTCAATTTCAGTGGCTGTAGGTGTGTTGAGTCACGTTTATGCACAAAAGACTGGACTGATGCAGACGGACACCTGGCCTGACGGATTCCCCAGGGGCTTCTCCCCGGACAGCAGGTGGTCTGAGTTCTGCGCCGGGTCGCAGCGTGCAGACTGTCTGGCTGCACCTGCGGTGGGCGTGAGTGCAGTGGAGCACGCCTCCTCCGTCCCCCTTGCCAAAACAGGGCAGGCCTGACCGTGAAGACCGAGGAAGATTTGGTGATTCCTCTTTGGATCAGGGCTACCTTTCCCCTCCGTCCCCCTTAGCCTGTCGGGGGATAGCGTGGCCTCAAGTTCCACTCTTTCGGATCCCTGCACTCGTACAAGACGTCCTCCCCAGCTGGGTGCTGCTCTGAGGGCAAAGCTTTGGGTGTTGGAGAAGGCCCACTGGCCTGGCGCTTCCCAGTGCCGTGCGTTAATTACTCCTGCGACTCTCGTCCCTCCACGCACTGCTGCTCCTGTTTGTTCACTGCCAGCTTGGAACTTCCCAGAGGCCTCCTGGGGAAGGTCACGCTCCCCTCTGACATGCTGGGCAGGGGCTGCCTCTGCTCTTTTCTCAGCTCGCCCCACCCACTTTCTATCTGACAGGATCCTTTAACAGCTTCTAACCTTGTTACCATTTCATTTATTTAAGAAAGTATCTTCCCTGTCCTTCCCGTGGGACTCTGGAAGGGAGGAGGCGGAGGTAGATGTATGTGTGTGTGGTCAGTACTCCCTTTTAAATTCCCCTAGTCTCTTTCCATAAGATCTGAGCCATTTCCTACATGTGCAGAGGCTTACTTACTGACCGGTCTTTCACAGTGAAAAACCCTTAAATTTAGTCTGGATTAAAAACTGTGCTATAAACACTGATGGCCAGGCCTTTCATGCTGAAGCTACGAAGGATCTGGTTCTGAAACAGCAAGTATCAGGGTCCCAGGCCCTGGCTACAAGCCCTGCGACCTGGCCCTGAGGCACCCGGGAAGCCCTGGGCCCTGGGTCTCTTGTGGCAGAAGGCCCTGGTCAGATCTCTTGTCTTGTCTCTGTTCTGACCTTGGCGTGAAAGCTCCTGTCCAACAGCTTTTCCTTCAGCTCCACACCAGGAGCTCCAGGTTGTTTGAATCTCATAGACGGCACTAGCTTGGATTTGGCTTTTAGCTGCCAAATGGAACTGCTGTTGAAAGTCACTGGTGGTACAAGTTTGCTTTTTACTTTCTTAGACATGAGTCAAGATGAATAGGACCTGTTCCCAGCTCATCTGGGGCTTTTTTCTTTTGGAATGCTCTTTTGCCCTAGTGATTTGTTATTTTAAAACCAGCATCATAAAGAACAGAAAAGTTAAACTTTTTTGGTGGGGCTGAGAACCCAGTGCCCTGACTCTTCCCTGGGTGCTGAGCCTCATAAAGGGGGTGGTGACGAGTCTTTAGAGAATGCGTTTGGCAGGCTGTCCTCCCTCCTACCTCTCCCTGGGTTGAATCCCTGGAGACCCCCTGCACAGATCAAAGTGCTTGGCTGGACCCTTGGTCCTGCTTTGGAATGAGTCTGATTCTTTGAGGTATTTGGTGGAGGTGCCAGACAGAAGCCTGGGAAGATGCCAGCAGGCACTAGGGGAGCTGGCAACATGTGGACATAATGGGAAGATATTCCCATTTCATTCCAAAACTGGAATTTTATCACCTTTTACCCAGCCCTAAGAACCGTGAGTTAATACTCTTCTCTCTCTCCTTATACACAAGGCCTAACCATCTCCTCTTTTCCATACCTGGATCCTTTCCCATGGAATATGTGACCCATTAGCCAAATGGATGAAGTAACTCTTTCCGAGGCTGCTGCCTGCTTTCCTTTTGGATTTTAGGGGGTAGGGAGGGAGTGCTCCAGCAGAGGGTCTGTGAGTGAACTAATGTGAGTGGGTGGGGGATGTTGTGGGGGGTGGAGTTAGGTGTGAGGGCCAAATGAAAACATCATACCCTGTCTTCCTGCTGGAGTGAGAGGGCCTCTTATTAAACATTCCCAATAATAGTCATAACCTTTTGGAAAATATCTGCAAATAGCAACTTTTACCATTACGAGAACAGGATAAAGGATAGAAAAAAACATTACTTTTATGTAATACTGGAGAGAGAAGTGTGAGCCCCTACAGATGGAAGCATCTCAGCCGATTGGCTGACATGCCTTTAATAACGTGCTCTTTAACTCCAGAAATACCTCATAAAGGAGCGGGGTGGTGTTCGAGCCAGCTCCTTCAGTGGCCACCACTAAATGCCGTATTTTCCCAATCTAGTGTATTCGCGTTGAAGAGGGGGAAGGTCTGGTGCTCTCTGATTAGGGCATAAATTTGGTTATAGAAGTCAGATTTAGGCATTGTCCTCTCTCACATTGTTCATAGTAGATGCGATGTTAATATTTCCCTGAGATTTTAAAGTATCAGAAGTGTAGTTAAGTCGCTCTGTTTGCTCTTACAATTGTGACCGTGACTCTGTGCAGTTTCTGTTTGTTTCCGTGTTGTTATCTTAGGTGCCCTCCATTTTCTTCTTCTTCAGCAAATGTTTGGGGAGTGCCTGCTGTGTGCTAGGTGCCGTCCCTGCTTAAAATGTTTTGAGGAAGGGGGACTATCTCCTAATTCTTACGGATCTTTGTTATAACTCAGTGCATGCTTGGAGTAGAAGGACATGTCGTATGAATGCCGTTGAATTATGGGAATTAATAAATAGAACCACATACATACTGTTGAGTTTGCAATAACAGTAGCAACCAGATTTCTTGAGTACTATGTGCCTACAACTGTGCCTTCCAAGTATTATCTCATTTAATTTTTATAAGAACCTTGTGAGGTAATTACTGTTATTTCCTTAGTAAGCAGCAGAGTCAAGATTATAACTCAGGTCTAGCTGATTCCAGAGCATACACTTCTAACTAGTGCACCGTTCTACTGTGCAGTGATCTAACAGATGTCACGAGCTCTAATCTTAAAGTCCAGTTAGAAAAATGGATGTTTCCAACTTTGCCAACAATTCAGATTTGCATACTTTGGAGGGGAATTCGAGTTTGAAATTGATATTATTTAAAATAAGTTAATTGGGGATCAATGTAAAGGAAACAGGCTTGAAGATAGGAAAAGGCCCTCATTAGTCGCTTATCAGTATAGAGCCATATACAAAGAAACTCTACCCAAACCATTCTTTCCTTGTCTGAGCTTACAATTTAATTCCTAATGTAGAAAAAAATGAGAGGTACAGACAATGGAACAAATAATGCAAGAGATTATGTTATGCATAACTCAGAGGACAAGTATGTGTGGCGGAGAAGGAAGGAAGAGGAAATGGCCGTGGACGTTCGATGTGTCATGGCGTGAAGACCATTATGAGCGTGTTCTCTGGTTCGGAGCAAAGTCGAGTAGCCATGCCTCTGTTGTAGCCTATAGGCGTTACTACTCACTTGGAGGAGAGTTAGTTGTTTTAGTTTTGGAACGCAGCCTGCAGTTGGCTGCTTTGAACTGTGTGATTGTATCAATTCTGGCTAAGCTTACTCAGAATGGAGATAGTACTACTTGTGAGAAACTGATCAAGACGTGTGAGGGAGTCGGAAACAGTTCGGGAATCGGTGTGGGTGACTGAGTCCATGAGCATGAATCAGTACTGATGTCACAGCGTCCGTGTCATGCACAGGTTGTGAAAGTTGTGTTCTAAGTTTGAGATAGCAAGCGTGGGAAATGAGGGGGGAATCTTGTTATCCTGACTCTGGAGTTGCTCATCGTGGTTGTAGATGTGTGATGTGTCACAGAATCATCCCTGTTTTATGATCAGTGCAGTATTTGGGATAGAAAATGCATGCTTATAAAGAAGAACGTTTGAATTTGGGGGGCAGTTCTTTTTAGTTCAGAACTGCAGAGGAAGGTGTGAATAGTGCTTGAGAGGGAAGCCTCGGAGCAAGACCGCCTGCGTTGTTCAGACGCTGCTGCCGTCTGTCACTGAGTGGTTGTGTGGCTCTGAGCAGGCCCCAGCCCTCGCTGCCTCTCCGCGGCTCTCACGTTGGGGCAGTGGTACACCTGCCTCATGGAGTCAGCCGAGGGTTAGATGAAATGATGCTTGTGAGGAATTAGAACAACGCATAGCAGCTGTTCGATACATTTGTTAAATTTTATATTTTGCTGCAGATGTTAGTAGTGATTTCTCTTGCCACTGTAGCCATCATCATCACAGTTATTATAATAGCCGCTTCCCTTTTGGATTTCTTTATCCTACACAGATTGTGGTGACTTCCAGCTGACTTCCATTCTAGCCTAATCTCACATCGAGTTGCTCTATTTCAGGTATTTAAATCTTACTATTTACTTAAGACTCCACAATAATTTCTTGCTTCCCACCATGCTCAACCTAAACACCCCTTGCCAGGAGTTCAGATCCCTTTGCCAGTGGGGTCCTTCCCTCCTAATTGTCTGACAGTATCTTTCATCGTTTCTCAGTTCAGTCCTTCAGCCCCAGGTCAGTGAATCTGCCCAGTGTCCATTCTGCTGGGTTTGTGCACACCATCTTCCCACGGTGGCCTCCTTTCCTGTCCACCACGTGCTTGACAGCTTCCGATGCTCGCCTTTGTGCTTCCAGGACGAACCTTCCCTGACTGGCCCCCCTTGACTGGTCCGCTCTCTGCCCTGCACCCTCACATCTTCCACTTGCAGAAATGCAGCTTTGTGTTCTTCTAAGTTACCTGTTTTGCTCTCCTTCCACCTAAAGATTAAACTCTTCGGGAGTAGGGGTCGGGCTCCGAGGGCAGGGATGACATCCGTTCACAGCATTGTGCAGTGCCTTATACAGTATCCAGCAATACTCAGAATTATTTATTGTAAAAACAACTCTTTTCTCGTCAAAAACTATTTAAAATATCTAGTTCCGTCTTTACATACAGTGGCATAGCGGACACCCGTGAGTGAGTCGGTGAGACATCACCCCATTTCATGGGGGAGAGATCTGTGAATTCTCTAAGCAACTTAATGAAAGCCCTCACCGAAGAGTAATGGTAGCATTTTAAAATTTGCATCGTCTTTACCTTTGGGAGAAAGCAATTTCTTATTAAGTAGCTTATATTTTCTTGGCATGTAACTACTTAATATCATGTATATAAATCTCTAAAGCTGTTTAGGCTTTATTTATTATGTGACAGATGCTGTGTAATTTGTTTCTCCCCACTGTCGTAATTGGATACCTTCAGTATTTATGGAAGTGCTGTGTTATGTGGCCAATTGAAAATACGGGTAGCTTGGAGGAAAACTTAGAGTTTTAGTTCTCTACATTATCATTTCCAAAAGATTAAGAATTTTGTTCTGGTACTGTAAGCTAGGGTCCCTTTGCATTTCCGTCCTTTCATTCTTTTTCTTTACTTAATAGCCGAACCAGATTTCCCTGGAAGAGAACATGCTGGTCTCCCGTTACATTAACAACCCCCTGCTCATAGACGGTGAGTCGCACACAGGCCCTTGGCCGGACTGGATTAGAGCTGCCAGATACTTTCTTTTGTTTGTTTACTTGTTGGACTCACCGGGATGGCATGGGTTAATGAAACTACACGGGTTTCAGGTGTGCAGTTCCTAACACATCTGTGTGTTGTGTCGTGTGTTCACCGCCCAAGTCAGGTCTCCTCCCATCACCATTTATCCCCCTTCACCCTCTTCTCCCTCCCCCCCCCCCCGTCCCGCTTTCCAACTCTGGTAATCACCGTTGATGGTCTTGCTTAATTTTGTAACATTTTCATAGTCTTCACTAGTCAGTCTTTATTAAGCTAGTGTGAAATTCTTGGCAACTGTGGCTTTAGAGATGACACTGGTTTCTTACTGGCCTCATGGGATTATTTTGAAGATGAAAGGAGACAATTTTTTAAAAGTACTTCATGGGTTACATAATAACAAATATATGTGAAAACTGTACACTACATATATATGTATAAAATCTCTCTCATTATATACATATGTGTGTGTGTATATATATGAAGTGTCTAATATCCTCTAAAAGCGAGGTGTGTGGGCCCTGTGTATTTTGTGGGGGGAGGAGGGCTCTTTCTTTCGTGTTCTTTGTTACATCGTCCTGTCCATTCTGTAACAGAAAACAGATGGGCTTAGTGTTTCCTGTGAATTAAATTTTTTTCTAGATTTCAAGTTCGACGTGCGCCTCTATGTGCTCGTGACTTCCTACGACCCTCTTGTCATCTATCTCTATGAGGAAGGACTGGCCCGGTAAGAGACACGTCAGGGCGGGTGGCGGTGCTCGTTAGAGTCCCACTGAAGAGGGTGACGGTCGGGCCTTTTCCTTCCGTTAAGTCAACTCAGGAAACCAGAGTGTGCCCAGATGGCCTTCAGGTTACTTTGTGGTCCCATTTGCATATATGTACACACGTGTGTGCAAGCATGTGTATGGAAACACACACCTTTCCCAGCAGCAGGCCAGGATCACATTGCGTTTTCAGGAAATGGCGGTTATGAAGACCCCAGGGTATTAGCATGATTTGTCATTGTTCTTCAGGATGGATCTAGGAAGACTAAAAAAATCCCACATCTATCTGTTATGTACCAGACATTTATTTTCTTGCTCACAATAACCCAGTGCTCGCTGCATTCGTGCAGTTGAGGAAGCCGAGGGCTAGAGAGGGAAGGGAACTCAAAGTCACTTTCCGGAGCCGTCCCAGTGGGTCGGTAGTGGAGCAGGAGTTCGAATTCGTGGACCCAACCACAGAGCTCAAGGCCTGAGCTGTTTCACGCCCTCTTGTACGTAGGAGGCATTAGCTGGTTTTTTTTCCACCTGCAAGTAATTAACTTTACCTGGTTGTATTATTCTGTTTTCTTGAAGTCTTTTTTAGGTTTTATGGTAATGTGACTTATACAATTAAGTTCAGGTTATAATAATTTGAAGTTTTGTTTCCCCTAACTACATAACTTTAGAGGTGGCAGGATTTTCATAGACTCTTTAATATGTTTAAAATAAAGTACATGGTCACGGCCGGGTAGCTCTGTTGGCCTCCTGATGCACCAAGGTTACAGGTTCGATCCCCGGTCAGGGCACATACAAGAATCAACCAATAAATGCCTAGATGAGTGGAACAACAAATAAGTTGACTTTTCTCTCTCTTTCCCTCCCTCCTTCCCTCCCTCCCTCCCTCCTTCCCTCTCTCTTTCTCTAAAATCAATCAATAAATACTTTTTAAAATAAGTATATAACTTTGCTTATGTTCTTCCCCCCATAAAACTAAATCATAAAACTTTTTTTGTCTCTCTATATCTACCTACCTACCTATCTACACAGAGTGGGCAAAAGTAGGTTTCCAGTTGTCCCCATGGAAGAAGACATGCAGACTATGAATACTGCAGTGCCTTTATTAACTCAAAAGAATAAACTAGGTTTACAGTTGCTTTTATAGAAAATAATACAGTAATTTTTAATGAGATCTTTTTCTTTTATTTATTATTTTATTTATTATTTTTTAAAGATTTTACTTATTTATCTTTAGAGGGGAAGGGAAGGAGAAAGGGAGAGAAATATCAATGTATGGTCGCCTTTCGTGAGTCCCCTGCTGAGAACTGGCCTGCAACCCAGGCATGTTCCCTGACCGGGAATCGAACTGCGATTGTGTGGTTCACAGGCCCGCGCTCAATCCACTGAGCTATACCAGCCAGGGCAAAATAATACAATAATTAATAATACAGGAACAAGCTGTTTTGTGTACCTACTTTTACCCTCCCGTGTGTGTGTGTGTGTGTGTGTGTGTGTGTGTGTGTGTACACCACTAGCCTTCCCTGAGGTTCCTCTGTGCATAGTGGCTTTTTGAAACAGCAGTTTGGAAGGTAGTCTGCAGTCTGCGAGCAGTCAGAACAAGCTGCGTGTGTTATTTTTTTAAATACACTTCAAAAACGGGAAACAGAATGGTTAAAAGAAGCCTGCCTATTTTAAGTATAAGTGCTTTGACACTTTTTCTTGTACCCTGAAAATTATTATTTTAGAATGGCTTTTTAATTATTTTACATTCTTAAATTTTTTGGTGCATCTTTTGACTACAATCTGAGGGTCAGAGCAGGCTGACCTGTGGCTGGTTGAGCTGTTTCTTTGCCTCACCTCTAGGTGGCAGTGACACCATTTATAAGCCCTGCCATATTCTTCACTAAGATTTGTGAGTTTGAGCCCTAGGAACATTGGAGGCTACTGAACCTCCCTAGTTCTGGCCTCCTGTTCCTTGAAAATTGTCCATTGAACTAAAAAAAGTCTGGAAGCTGTGGCTAGAAATAAATGATAAAGATTTATTCCAGGGTCTTAGAATTTGCCAACCAGAAACACAGCTAGGCAAAAATTTAGAAATATTCCAAAGAAGAAAGTGAAAAGTTCTTAGAGTGAAAAGTACACTCTTGAGAATGACCAATTCTGCATTTTTAGCCCTCGAATTGGTCCAGGATGGTTATCTCTCAGATGTCAGGCACCCTTGATGATGGATGCCAGGCGGGGTAGAAGATGGGAGGCAGGAGGTCTGGCAGAGTCCAGACAATGGCTGTCAGGTGGTCTGGACACCTGAGCCGCGCTGGGTGGTAACCAAGGTTATCTGGAGGTCTGGGGTATGTCCAGATGTGTAGGAGGGTGTTGATGAAGGACTGGAAAGTTCGAAAAGTTTAATTTCCCAGGCTAGTGAGAACAAGGATAGAGTCTTTTCTCACACCTCAATTTTCATAATGTTAAATAATTTTTGCAGATTGGTTAAAGTGACTTCATTTTATATACGCTTTGCCTTTACTCTTTCCTTAAAATTGAGGAGGGGAGAACTAAAACGTTCCTCAGTTTTCAGGTAAAGGGCTGAACCAGGCAGGCCCTTTATCACACTCTGGCTGCCAGCTCAGAGCGGACCCAGAGGAAAGAAGTTTTCTGTGATGTTCGCAGGCGCGTGTGCTCTCAGACTTTGAAGTATAGATTTAAAAGTCAAGTTCCCCTGCTATTTAGAACAAAAAGAAGGTAAAATGTAACCTTATGTCTGCTCAGGTGTATAAGGTGCTGAGGGTTTTCAGTCTTGTAACTTGGTATCCGAGCTTTCTCTCTTGTGTGTGGGAAACTTTTCCCCTCCCTCCCTCCCTCCCTCCCTCCCTCATCTTCATCTTCATCTTCATCCTCATCACACCTATTTCTTCCCTTTGCAGGAGTGGTGACATCCTTCCATAGCTGGGCTTCTTGAATACGGCAAAGACCCCAAGGTTGCAAGGGTATCATGCCAGCATGTTTTGCATGTTATTTCAAAGACATTTGCCCACAATATTAATAGCTCTCTCTGTTGGTAAAATTTGGCATAGTTTTAAGACCTCAATGGTTTAGACACAAGTTGAGAGCAATGCCAGTATTTGTTAGAATATATTATAGTCCCAGGGGTATGGCTCAGTGGATTGAGTGCTGGCTGGCGACAAGGGTCGGCAGTTCCATTCCCAGTCGGGGCACATGCCTGGGTTGCCCGGTCCCCTGTGGGGGGCAGGCCATCGAGAGGCAACCACGCACTGATGTCTCTGTCTCTCTTTCTCCATTCCTTCCCTCTCTCTAAATAAAATAAAATCTTAAAAGGAAAAAGAATATACTACAGATAGGCATGTGCTTTGGCTCCTCGGTGTACGCCAGAAGTCAGAATCCACTGAATTGAACAGCTTGGCCTGCCTCCAGTGGAAGGTGGGTAGACGTGCAGGGGCGGGCAAAAGCGGGTGTGCAGGTCCCAGTCCATGAAACGCTATTCTCATATGTTCATTTGTATTGCAACTGTAAACCCACGTTTGCCCACCCCTGTGTGCTTTAAATGTGTGCTTTTTCTCAGAATAATTTGGAGAGTGGTTTTTCTAAAAACTCAGACCAGGTCGAACCCAGAAATACAAATTTTCAGGGATTTGTCTCGGTTTATCTAAAAGTATAGATGAATGTAAAAGCTCGACAGATGAGCACCCCTGAAGATGGGCTGTGAGCCGGCGCCCCGTGAGGGCACGTTGCTGTTCCGGTGACTTCCATGTGCCCCTCTGTTCCTGTGCCTTAACTCGCTGTGTGTCTTGGTATTCGTGGGCTTCTCGTTAATTCTCAGGATCTACTCGGCTGTGCCGCCTTGTTCACCGCAGTCTGTAGCGTCTCCAGGTCTACAGCCGCTAGTAATCTCGGGTCACACCCATTTTACCTGGACATCACTAGAGATAATCAGTTGGAATGAGATCACTATGCTGTTTTACTTCGAGGCTCAACAGGAAAACCATAATCTTCCCTAAATAGACAAAACTGGCAGCATAGAGAGTTGGTTTCCTTCTTGGGAAAAGAATGGCCTTACCCTGTATCACTTCTTTCTGTTTTGGACCTCCAATTAAAGCTTAGGTGGCAGAAAGATTATTTCTTAGGACAGCTTATGAAGTAAGTATTTTGCGTTAATTTTTTACCTTCTTAAATTTGCTGAAGACAGGGTCCTAAGTAGTTTGTTTCTATATTAACAGTTTCCATTGCTTTTGTTTTGTTAACATAGGAAGTAGGAAAACTGTCATTATTCTCTCATACACGGGCAAAATGTCGAGGTGTTTAAAAAATCCATCTTGCTGGTGTTTGGGTCTGGCATCTGGCCCTAGAGGTCCACGCTGCTTTGGAGTTTCACGCGTGTGCTGCTGCCTTGCACCAGCAGGGGGCACTCACTTTCCAGGGAGGGTGGCATTCTCCACCAAGATGGTGTGGATTCTCTTTCCTGTCAGAGGTGGAATCCAAAAAGACTTCGTCCTGGATTTTACAGTTGTAGGTGGATCCAGTATGTGATCTAAACGATTTGACGGGGCCTTTTTTGTGACAGAGCTAATAGCCAAATTTTCACTGAAATAGGAAAAATAAAAAGTTTTAAAAAATTAAAACAAAATGGAGCTGAAAACCAAATGTACTGTCAGAGTCCCAGAGATAGGGAGCTCTAGCAACTGGGTGCAATGAAGGTGCCCCCCGGGACAGGAGAGACCGGCCCCTCTCCGAGAGTGGGAGGCGAGGGCCCTGAGGAGCCCCGTGGGGGCTGCCGTGTTTCCGCCACAGCCGTGCTATTCGGTGGAAATTCAGAAAAGACCCCAAAGCATGAGTAATGCCTCTCCCTCCCCCAGCCCCTTCTTCAGTAGCCTTCCTTGCTAATTAACACTGGCTCCGCAGGGATATTTACCTTTTCTCTGCTGGATTCCTGTGGTTTTGAAAGAATTCAGGTACTTGCTGGTTGCCAAGGAAT